ACCTTCCCACACTCTCAATCCCATCATATATCTCAGTAACACGCTCGAGAAGAACACTAGAGAGAGAGAGAGTTGAGGACATGGCGGGTTCGAGAAGGTCAACAATCAACATTGTCGGTGGCGCGGATGTCGTGAGAGGCATCGTGAGACGGCCGATCTCGAGGAGGGCTGGGGTGAAGGTGGCTATAGAGGCGGGGCTCGCACACCGGTCGGCCTCCATGTTCACCGTCCATGTTTGATGTGCCGTGCTCATTTTTCGCAATAGGATTGTATTTTAAAGATAAATGTCGTCTTCTCATGATGATTTTGATTGAGGCCATGGTTTTTTTAGTAGGAACACGAGAAGATGGTGGGGCAAATGAACTGGGTTCATCATTTAGAAAGATCCCAGTTTCCGGGGAGAGAGACGTTCTTGTAATCTTTGTTGGGAATCTTTAGGAGGAGCGGCTGGTTGTAATTAAGAGGTTCTTGACTTTGTAATTGTGTAGAGTGAAAGAATTTTGTTAACACTTGATGGGATTCTCCTCTTTCTTTTTTTTTCCTTTTTTTCTTTTTTGGGTTCATTTTCTTTCAAACCTGTTGTCTTTTGCTGTAAGTTAAAGCGAGACTGACTACATTCGCCCTAGTTTGTTACGAGTCTCTTTGAGACGTGGGAGGTTGACAGTTCGAGCTCCACCTGTGGGAATTTTGGGGTGGGAACGGCTTGTAAAACCAACACGAGGCAAACAAAAGGGTGAGACGAACTAAATTCAATCTAGCAAGACCAAAACGGAACAAACCTTGACGGCAAAATGCTTGAGGATGGTGGAGAGGTACACCGCAGCTCCGATACTAACACGCTCGGCGTACTTGCCAACATTTGAGAAACCGCGCAATCGATCCTATTGTCTCGGAATTTGCCATGGTTGGGCGAGCTTACGGTAGCTTGGGCTCTCTCATGGCCACTCGAGCTCGCAGTAACTTGTTATACATTTACTCCTCTCTTGTTGGATAAAGTCGGCCAAAGAGTTAAAATTTGGATATGACAAACCTTATTCGATAATGATATCCTATTCTCTAATCATCTAGCTAATAATCATTGTTTTCCTTTGTAGTATTGTTGAGTTCATATCCCCTTAACTGAACCATTTATGTTTCTAATGTCTATCAATTATGACTTTAATTAGAAAACCTTGCATTGGCATCCCATCTAACTACGGTTAAATGATGATACTTCGATTGGCTCTTTTGCCTAGTATTGGCCAATTGAGGTGTGTGTGGTAACATTTATGTTTCCGAGAATAATTTTTGTTCAAAAATAGTTTTTTTTATTTCTATTCCCTCAACGAGTTTTTGAGCAAAAGAATGCGTTTGGTAACTGCACAAAATTTATATTCCCGAAATAGAAAAGAACATAAATGCGTTTGGTACGACCTTAAAAATTTTAATTTCCAATTTTTTTTCATTTACTTATAAAAATGTCAGCGAAGACTTAACAATTCATATTTGGATAAAACTAGACTTTTGTAAGGACTTAACTGATCAAGATATTCTAAGATGGCCTCAGAAATTCCAATGCAATAGTTAGTCAAAGATGGATGTTCTCCATCATGAGACACAACACAATGCGACACCATCGCAGTGATGTCCCTATAGCAAATGTGATATTATTATGAATGGACAATTCCTAATTAATTAGTGAAGGGAATGGAATTGGAATTTGATATCTAATTCACTATCTTATTTGCTATCTCTTCTAATGTTGAAGTTGTATACTATCGGAAAAAGTGTCAAAAAAGTCATAAACCTTTTGCATTTATACCAATTTAGTCCTAAACTTTTTTTTATGCCAATTGAGTCCTAAACCTTTTGTGTTTGTGCCAATTCAGTCCTTCCGAATAATTTTGGCTGGATTTTGCTGACGTGGACGCGGGGTGGCCTATGTGGCATCACCGCGTCAGCGCCGGTGGTGCCACGTAGGCCGTCCTGCGTCTACGTTAGTAAAATCTGGCCAAAATTATTCGGAAGTACTGAATTATCATTATGTCAAAAGGTTTAGGACTAAATTGGCACAAAAAAGGTTTAAAATTAAATTGGCACAAATGTAATAGATTTAGAACTTTTCTGACACTTTTCCTCTTATCCCCTCCACCGTTGGCGGGTGGTAATGGAAATTCCATTTCATCGTTCTTAGTGCTAGTATTCCCATAGTTCGAGCCGGAAAGCATGTGTAATCTTTCTTCCCTTCAACGCCTTGATTTTCATGGCTACAAGGAGCTCCAATCATTGCCAGCCCAGACCCACCCATCGGTGGTCGCGTTGGTTTGCGCTCAGTTCCTTTCACGAAAGGTCCTAGGTTCAAAATTCGCCCATCGGTGATTTAAGTGAGGGGTCGTGGCGGTGGGATGCTGCGCTAGCCCCCCTCGAGGACTAGTCGGGCATTACCGCTGGTTTGAGCCCTAGCTCGCCAGCCGCGCGGACACCTCGATTATCCAAAAAAAGAAAAAAAATCACTGCCAGACCAGCTTCCTTCCAGCTTAACATATTTGGGCATCACCTGTCAAAGTCGCAATTTACCTTCACTTTCCCACCTAACCCATCCCAAGCTACTATGAGTTATGGGCTGCGAATTTCTCAAGTGCATCCCGCAGCTTCCATAAACACTAGTAAAGAATTCATAATGCTCCCAGCTAACAGACGTTGAAGAATCAAAATCACCACAATCCCTAAACACCCCCATCCAGTTGGAAATCTTGGATATCCGTGGTTGTGAGTCAATTGAAACATTGGAGATTTCACAGTTTATCCATCTAAGGACATTATCCGTAAAATTTTGCAAGAATCTACTTGAAGTTCAAGGTCTTGACAAATCAATATATTTGGAAAACTTGACTATCTCAGGTTGACGTGAACGGTTGGACCTTCCAAAGTTCTAGGGTCTAAAAATATTGGATGTTCATTATTGCAATAACTTAGCCGAAATTCAATGCCTCGATAGGTTGGAATTCTTGGAAAGCCCGAAAATCTCTTAGTGCACTTCAATTGATAGGCTGCTCCTTCCAAAATTCGAGAGTCTGAAGACATTAGATGCTGCATCATGCAAGAAATTAGCCAAATGGTGCACTTCAATTGAAAGGCTAGACCTTCCAAAATCTAGAAAGTTGAAGGAATTAAAGTTGAATACTGTGAAAACTTAGCTGAAATTCAAGGTCTCAATAGGTAGGAGTTTTTGTGAAAAGCTATATGTCAAATGGAGCACTTCAATTGAAAGGCCAGACCTTTCAAAATCCAGGAGTATGTTGTAAAAGGAGTTGCTCCAATGCTTTTAATTTACCTATTTTCGCTGAAAGCTCTGTGATTCTCGTTCACCCGCACAACTCCAAAGCGAAAAAGGGCCTTCATGTCTCCAATTGAAGGGTCAATTTGCTTCAGACTCTCACAATGATTGAGGATCAGAACCTCTAAATTCTTAAAAATTGAGAGGAAGTCCATATTTTCCAAGTAATTTTGATAAATCCGCATTGTAGATAACTCTAGAATTGTTTTGAGTGACTTGCATCCACTGATCCTTAGTTCTTCCAAAAACTTCAACCTATCAAGGCCTTGAATTTCGGATAAGTTTTCGCAGTCATCAGCTTCTCATATTTTCAGCCTCTCGAATTTTGGAAGGTCTAGCCTTTTAATGGAAGTGCACCCATTGATATTTAGCTTTTGCGAAAACTCCAAGCTATCAAAGCCTTGAATTTCGGCTAATTTCTTGCACCATATAGCATATAACGTCTTCAGATTCTTGGATTTTGGAAGGAGCAGCCTCTCAATTGAACCGTAGCCTACGATAGTCAAGCTTTCCAAATATATCGATTTGTCAAGATCTTGAACTTCAAGTAGATTCTCGCAAAATTCAACGGATAATGTCCCTAGATGGATAAACTGTAAAACGTCCAGCGTTTCAATAGATTCACAACCATGGACTCGCAAGATTTCCAACTTGAAGGGCGTGTTTAGGAATGTAGTAATTCTGATTCTTCAACGTCAGTCAATTGAGAGCATTCTAAATTCTTATTAATGTTGATGGAAGCTCCCAGATGCACTCGAGAAATTCGCAACATCAAAACTCGTAGTTGCTTGAGATGGGTTAGGTGGGAAAGTGAAGGCAATTTGCAACTTCGATAGGTGACGCCCAAATATGTTGAGCTGGAAGGAATGTCATCCGGCAACGATTGGAGCTTCTTACAGCAAGAAAATCAAGGTGTTGTAGGGAAGAAAGATTATACATGCTTTTCAGCATTTCCCCTTTTAGGTTGCTGCAAAATGAAGCATGTAACTCTCGGAGCTTTCTCAGCCTCCCAATACCCTTGGGTGATTCTTCTATACAGGTGTGAGAAATATCTAGAATCTCTAGATTCTCCAAAGACCCTATTTCCTCTAGAAGCTCCATGAAGCTCTCACACCAGCGCAACTCCAAGCGAAGGAGGGCCTTCATGTCCCCAATTGAAGAGTCGATCTACTTCAATCTCTTACAAAAATTGAGGATCAAAGCCTCCAAATGCTTAAAAGCTGAGAGGAAGTTCGTATTTTCCAAGGATACACAAAATGTGAGGTCGAGAAATTTGAGATTCTCTGTCATCTGGTAAGAAAAATGATTGTCAATTGGTTAGTTTAGAGTGATTATGATTCAAAAGAAAGCATAAAATGAGATGAGAGAGAGCGAGATTTGTTCTCACCGTGAAAGAACTCCATCCTTGTCATTGATCATTTATTTTCCTTTTCGACAATTTTAGTACAACTAATTCCTCTATAGGAAAATTGTTTACTTCAAAATCCACGGGACATTTTCGCCATCAAAGCCATCTTAGGTCACGCGTAATAAAAAGTCATATCTGCATTTCTTTATTAACCATATTAATGAGAAATGACAAAGGAACCTGACTTTGTTAATTTGACAAAATTCAAAATTTAATTCCATTTCTTAAAAATTTCAAGACTCGATTATAATCTCCCAGTGAGTTTTAGGCGCAGCCATCTCTATCGTGTCTCTCTCTCTCTCAAAAACCTCGTACCGCGAAGCTGGTCTTGCGGACGTACGCCGTACAAACGACACGATTCCGTTCGGAGAGAAACCCCGAGAATGGTGGTGATCAGCGAGTGTTCGGCTCCTACTGCGTCTCGCTGCTTCCCCGTGAGCCTCCGCAAGGACGCCGCCGGCGTTTTGGTCCGCCGCTTGTCGCTGCCCCGCCGTTCTTGGTCCTCAAAGGTTCCGTCTTTCCGGACCCTCGCCGTCCGCGCTTCGACCCCACTTTCGGGTCGGTCGCTATTTCCGTCCTTTTCGTGTCTTTATGTACTTTTCTTTGCCTTCTGTGCTTGATCTTGTGATGGAGCTTTATTTAGTTCGAGCTCAACAAGGCTTTTCTTGGATGCTCGTGAAGTGCGAATGGTAGGATTCATTTTGGTTGTGGGATTTTTTTTTTCCGTTCGTTTGTTGCAAGTGCTTTCCAAGTGGGATAAGAAGATGAAATTTAATCTGTTTCGTGAAAAAAAAAATTTATGTTTTATGGGTTTAGAAATCACAATAAGTAGAAGTACGTAAAATGTAGCAAGATGATGGAATTTTCCTGACGTGAAATTGCTACATATTTGGAAAAACCATCATCACCTATCAAGAATTGCCAACTCGGCTTGCCAAATCCGTGATTTTGGTGAATTTTCAGCAAGATGGAAGCTGGAGAACTTTTCTTGGAACTGAATGAATGAAAGGATTTTGCTTTCCGTGAATATAGATTGAAATTTGAGCTCTTTTGGCCTGATTTTTTTGGGCGTGGAAGATGCAACTTTGAAGCTGTGTCTTAATTTATCGTGTGTGGGAAGCTGCAGTGGCGAGTGAGGCTTGTGCCAAAGTGATTGATGGGAAATATGTTTCAAAACTCATCAGAGACAAGATATCAGCTGAAGTATCCAGAATGAAGGAGGCAATTGGGGTTGTACCAGGGTTAGCAGTGATTCTTGTCGGCGATAGGAAGGATTCCGCAACTTACGTACGCAACAAGAAGAAGGCTTGTGAGTCTGTGGGGATTAACTCCTTCGAAGTGCAATTGCCTGCAGACTCAAGAGAAGAAGAAGTGCTCAAGTTTATCTCAGGATTCGATGATGATCCTTCGGTTCATGGCATCCTTGTTCAGTTACCATTGCCGTCAGTATGTTCCAATGCTAACTCCTTTTACTTTCGTCCCAATTAATCCATGTAGAGTGAACAAACTCCAGTTTCTTTGCTTAAATCAGTATTCTTGCGAGTCGAAGGTTCATTTAAAAAGGTGAATTTTGATGTTCTTGTCGGAGGAGTTACAATGACATCTACAAGTGGATGTGACTTTCTATAGTTATTTTCATTAAAACCAACTGCATTTACAGCGGTCATTTTATGCCCTGGTTCATGGAGAATGTGACATTCTGTGCTTCAACTTTGATGTTCTTAGTCTGTGAGATTCTTTAGCACTGTTTCTAGATATTTACCTGTCTTTTTTCATGACATTTTCGTTTTGGTGGCCAAGGACACTGGGGTGATCAGAACTTTTAGATCGTCCTCATAACTTAATGTGGTGTTATTGAGTTGTGTATCAGGCAGTTGTTTTTTATTCAACACATACCAGGAGTTTGTTGGACTGTGGAATAAGGCTCCTGGGCCCTGTCTGCCTGTATATAAATTAAATGGCATCTTCTTGTTCTGCATAGAGTTTTATCAGCTAAGTCATTGTTTTTCCAGCATGTGAATGAGCAGAGTATCCTAAATGCAGTAAGTATTGAGAAAGATGTGGACGGTTTTCACCCGCTCAACGTTGGCCGACTTGCTATGAGAGGTAGAGAGCCCCTATTTGTGCCTTGCACTCCAAAAGGTTGCATAGAGCTATTGCATAGATACGGTATTGGTATTAAGGGAAAGAGAGCTGTCGTGATTGGCCGAAGCAATATTGTTGGGATGCCTGCCGCTTTGCTGCTTCAGGTATACTTCTATCTTGTCAAAAGATGTCGCCTTTAAGAAATTATCTTTCTTCATCTGCTATATATCCGATGCCTCTTTTTCTAGAGGGAAGATGCAACCATCAGCATTGTCCATTCCAGGACACAAAATCCTGAGGAGATCACAAGAGAGGCAGATATCATAATTGCAGCTGTCGGGCAAGCCAACATGGTGAGAGGGAGCTGGATCAAACCAGGTGCAGTGATTATTGATGTCGGGATCAACCCAGTCGAGGTAATTGTATTTTCATCATGAAATTGTGCCACGTTTACCATTTACAAGATGACTATTGTAGCTTATTTCTGTCAATTATGTGAAGAGGTTAGCATGGAGGCTGTTGTTGGCTTGATCAGCCTGTATGGATACTTGTGGTGGTAAAGATTTATGTCGAATTGCATAGACAACAGATATTATGAGCATTATGACCTGGCTATCATTTTGAAACCAACTTGTCACGGGACTTTGTACTGTAATGGGTGCAATGTTCCGGCTCATATTGGACACACTTTCGAGTTTTGATGTTTGCAGACCTATGTCTTTGGTGCTTGTAACAGGATTCAAAAAGCTCTCGGGGTTACAAGCTAGTTGGAGATGTCTGCTATGAGGAGGCGTGTAAAGTAGCATCAGCTATCACTCCTGTTCCAGGGGGAGTTGGTCCAATGACAATAGCAATGCTTCTCTCTAATACTCTCACATCAGCGAAGAGGGCACACAACTTCCAATGAGTGTAGATGTTGCAGATGCTACTTTACAATTCGCAAGACAATTTCTGAAATGGTGCGAGAGGATTTGTTATCAACGAGGACGGTGTTTACCAGCAGATGTCCCTGACTCTGTTTTTATCTGTCTTTTCAGTTGATCAGATAGGTAATGAACTCTTTTTTTCCGTTCTGGAGTTAAAGCTCTGCATAGAAACAATCCCATAATCAGCGTGTTATAGAGCTCATAGGATTAGCAATTTTGTGGTGATCTTGTATTCGCATTTGGTGAATATATTTTCAGAATGGGAATGTATAATGTGGTGTCTCTGTGCTTTTGCGCTTAATCCATGATGACTTGTGAGGACGATTTGTGGAGGTCTCTGTTTTTGGTTCTGTCCTGTTGTAAGCTCCTTTGGCAAATATGATTTACGCAGCCTTACTATGTCAAATGTCAGATTAAACCTTGAGTTCTTTTGCATGAGGACTGTTTCCGGATACTTACTTTCCTCTTTGCGTAAGTCTTAATGCCCAAAGTAGACCGTTTTCACACTTTGTGTCGACGACAAAGTACTCGATTTGTGTAACCAACCGAGAAGAAGAGACGTTGGAATTCTTCGACATTGTTGCGTAGTGTGCAAACAGTGTCACAGGAATTATCAGTACGATATGCGGGCTGGGCCGCACACTCGTTGCACAAACAGTGTCGTTGCCATCAAGAGGGGGTATCCATAGACTCAATATTCCAGCAATGAGTACCGTGAACCACATTAAGCATAGTTTAAACTTTTTGGACACTTTTTCCCAAAATACAATATGAACCGTGACTACACAAAGTGGATTCTTCAAGCCCCATTTGGAGTCGAAAACTATTCATAGCAAAGAAATGAAGATGGAAAAGATGGAACCCTGACTCGCATTGAACTAACACACTAACCTAAGACCAAAAAAGAAAGAACTAACACACTAACCCAATTTCGCCAGAAAAACTGAACATGATCTGCTAAAGTCAGACCTGTCAAATGATTGATTTAAGAAGCGTATTCAAAGCACGATACATTAGACTTGTTTAGACATCCTATAGGCGTAAAACAGCTGACTACACTAGATGAAATTTCCAGGAGATTTCAATTCAAAATTTGTGATGCGAATAGTGGAGGCATTTTGTCCTCACAAGATATACCCAAGAAACATTTTAAATACTCGAGGGGTATACACCTGTGAAACCAGAAAAATGCAAGGATTTGACACAGCAAAGCTCTAGAATACATCATCTGAAAATTTCAGTACAAGGAGCAAACTCAGGTACCCATTTAAGCTGACTACATAAGTTGGTCAAAAATTTCATCTAAGATACTGACATGCTCGAGTCGATCGCTACATCAGCTGGAAGCCTTTTTTAGTCTTTTAATTCTCTCCAGGGCACCAAGACGGCTCTCACCGTCTTTGCCTTCCCCGTCCTTTTCGGAGTCTTCCCTCTTCCGAACCAACCCTCCGAAAACTGCTGACGGCACGTCCTTTTGCGCGATTTCAACTCTATCCTCTTCATCCGAGTCACTTTCGTCCGGCAGTTCAATGTCCTCCTGGTTCACATTACTTCTTATCCCTCCGTCTGCCTGAGATTCCACTCCAGCACTCACGAAGCCAACTTTTCGGCTCCCTTCTTTCGTGGTGACATCGTTGGCTGAAGGCACAAGCTGCCTCTCGAGGGCGGCCATCTCATCCTCCGAAACTCCAGCCTGTTTCAATTTGTCTCTTGCATCATCGAGATCCATCTTCTGGTCTTTTTGCATGACATACTCGGGCAGAATGAAGTGTGTCTAAAGAGTACAGGGAAAAGGCAGAAATTAATGTTAGAAAAGCACGACTTCCATTAACATGATGATGTTGTACAGAGAGCAAGCAGGAGTATGCAAAGGGGCTAACCCTAAAATATATAAGAGAAGTAAGAGTCATTTGCTCATGAAGTTAGTTATATAACAGATTGTAAATCATTTCTGAGTCCCATATTAAGCAATTTAGACTTAAATCATGCCTTTGACTCTGTTTTTCCCCTTCTTACCATTTATTTCAGACAATGATTATTATCACAAAATATATATTAGGATTTTGATGAGTTTCAATGCTAAATGGCTTCTTACTGCAGAAAACAGCTCAAATTGTTTCAGCCGCTTGGCATGACAATCACTTTATTTATTTCCCGCAGAAACACCAACTACACTACTCAGTCACCTTCATGGAAAAAATCATGTTTCTTCTGATTATCATAATTTAACGAGAAACAGAAGCGAGCATCATAATGGCCAATAGAGCAAAAGAACGATGTCTTACATTCTCCAGAAGAAAATACTTTCATCTATAATGAATAGAAAACACAAGTGAAGAAAGAGATTTATGAGAGCATACCTGGCTATAACTTGCAGAAACACTGCGCTTAATACGAAGCATTTCTCGGAAGGTGTCTTCATTCCCGTGCTGCACCTCGAATTCATGCCACTTGTTCCAAAAATCAACATCAGATCTTGGGTCAGCGAATTGGGATGCATACACATAAATTCCACGAGCACGATCTATTTCACCCAGGCTTTTCTCAAGCTCGGCATATTTCAAGCACATAGCCTTCCCATCTTTGTCAGGAAGACCCCCATTTTCTATTGCTTGCTCGTAGATCTCTCTTGTTTTTGGGACACCGAATATCTCAGCTGCTCGTGCTATGTAAATTTCGTACATTGCCAACTTCTCATTGCTTGGCACGGCCTTAGTGGCTTGATCATACACCTTCATTGCCCTCTTCGCAAGACCATACTCCTCTTCCAATTTCGCATATTGAAGGTACAGAGGCTTTACTTGATCAGAAGGGGTCTAATGGGCAGAAGTAAAATGACACATAATCAAATTTTAGGATTAGTTCAATGACTATAGGTATAAAACATCAAAGTACGCCATCATTTAACCATCTAAACAGAATTCATTAACACAAACATACTCAAAGAGATTGGCTAAACGATTTTATGATAGCAATATTGCCAAATTCACCCCTAGATTGACAAACACTTAAAACTATCCAAAGAAACCAGTAAGATTCATATGCTACAAAATTTGTTTGCTACTGAAAACAAACACATCAAGAAACAGTGATTCATGCAATCATAGCGTAAGGTGTGACGTTAACAAAATTCTTCCAACGAATGAAACTAAAACCAATTTGTATGGAATTACATCACTCGAGAGTTAGACTATTGATCATCTCAGTCTGTGGAGTCAAATCTTTCATCTTTGTCTTGACCAATTCAAATACTTGCAGATTGATGAAAATACGCTGGGGCAGTAACTCAAATTATAAGTCAAAACCAACACAATCGAGACAAACTTGTCTCTTTTATTAAATTTTCCTATGAACTAACTGTCCTACTGAATGATCACTGTAGCCTCACAGACTCACAGCCGCACCTAGTTAGGACTAAATTTCTTCATCTAGTTAAAATTAGTCAATAGCAAACAAACTAAATTACCTACACCCAAGATATTAGCTTGCTTTATAAAACTCCCTAAGAATATCATCTATCATACAACTTTCAGCAGTATTCCCTTAAACGAAAAAAAAAAATCCCTCCAACAAGAACTCAAGGAAGACGAAAGAAAGAAAAAGCTCGTGCACCACCACATTGCTCAATCAGCTACATCTCAATAACATAAAATATGGACCAACCACACTAATCTGAAAAATTAATTCACATACCATTTCAATAGCGTGCTCAAACAACTCTCTTGCCCGCTCCAGTTTTGTCTTTCCATATCTCCTCACAAACTTGGAGAGATAAGTAACCCATATATCTTTCACATGAGGATACTTAAATATCTTGACGCCTCTTTCATATACCTTAAATGCATCTTCAAAATATTTATTATCCTGCACGCGAAAAAAACATTAGCATGATGTCTCCGAAGATAAGAGCAAGGAGAGACGAAGCAAGTTGTTAAAATGTATTCATACTTCCAACAGAACTGCATAATTGATTATTATCTGCGGAGTGGCTATTCTCAAATCTAAAATACGCTCATAGACTGCACATGTGGACTCCAAGGTACCCAGGCTCTCCTCCAAATCCACATAAAATGTCCACAGTCTCAATGATTTGTGCACCTTTATCTGAACTGGTTCATTCCCATCAGCAGCCACTGTAAGAAAAATAAATCAACCAATTAGATTCAGTTTGCTGATCTTGAGCCCCTACATGGCTTTGACAGAAGTTCATTTTCCTTTCCAACACCACCACCGATAATTTTTGCCGACAATCGTTTCTCAGAAATGAAAAGCCAAATGTTCTTTATAGAGCAAAACAGGCCATGATTTTTTTTAATCACGGTCAAAAAAAATGAGAGAGAATGACATTGTTCTTCAGAATGTATCAGTTTGCCATTTGGAGAGGTTAACCAATAACAAAGAGAGATAATTAAATTTTGATTAGAAAAGGAAAAAAAGCCAAATTTGTGCTTGTCATCATAAGCCATATTAGCTATCAAACAACAGAAATTTGTCTCACCGACACATCGCAGGATCCAAAAAGACTTGTTTATCGTAAAATAGTATTTAAAAGCAAGACACAGATCACCAAATTGTGTGCCTATGACATGATCTCTTGGATGACGAGTGCTAATTATTTTCTCAGAGTGATTTCAGTAGTTAACTATATGCATAGAACAGACTCTTCTCAAGTTTCATATGATTGCACAGTTAATAGCATTTCATCCCACTGGAGCAAATGATAAACTAGTTTGTCAATAGGAAGCTACATATACATCAGTCATTTTCATAACAGTCACAATGGCCTGCGAAACATCCCAAAATAACATAAGGAGAATGTAAATGAAACAAATCATTCAACACAGCTGAAATGCAGTAACATCAAGCATTTGAAAAGGATACAAGTAGACAAGAAAACAAAGACAGTACCTCTTCTTTTGACCTCAACTGATGGCTCCGCAGTAGCCCTTCTCATCAACTCGAGTGCCTTTTTGAAGTTGTTATGCCTCAACTCCATCTCGGCCCACTCACACCAAATACTGGCCAAATGATCAACGGCCTTGTAGTTGACCTGCACTGCTTTGTCGAAAATCACTCTTGCATTAGCGATATCTTTGTGGCTCTCGTATAGCTTAGCAAAGGCTACCCAAAGTGTATGAGGTTTTCCAACGGCTTTCATCGGATCTACAGTCCTCACTGCTTCCGTGTACGTAAGAATCTGCTTGGTGGGATTACCCTCAAATAGCTTTACCCTCCTGTGCCATTGCTCCACATTATGGGGATTTTGCCGCAATAGAACGCTATTAGCTAATTCTGGCCTGCGGACCATCAAATGCTCCAATCGAGCTAACCTCAAATCCACATCCTTATCATCATGTAACCAGAACCCATCAAGGATCTTCTTCTCAAACTTAGCTACGGACAAATTCACATCCAACCTGATATCTTCATCCTCTTCAACCCCATTTTCCTGTACCCCATCCTCTCCCTCTCCCTCTTCCTCATCCTCATCCTCATCACTCAGATCCATATTTTCCATCTTGTAAGCAAGCATGCTCTCCTCGAACTGCGCATAAGCATCAAATATCACACTGAAATCCCTCACGGTAATCACCGTCTTCATGCCCTCCTCAAATATGTCCCTTGCCTTCTCATGTAAATTCCTCCTGATATAGTATTCAGCAAGCGACGTCCACAACCTCCCGACCTCATCAGTGAACTTCCTGATCCCACCCCTTATAATCGCGTCAACATTAAGACCCGAAACCTCCGTAGCATGCTTCGTGAGCAAATCACACAACTCGAGCCACAACCTATGCTTGGTCTTCCCCTTAATCGAGAAAAACTGATCATCGTTCAGCACCGACGCCAGCCTCTCCGCCGCCTCTTGCCAGAGACTAGAATTCACCAAGAACTCAATGAAATCCTCGATGTGAGAGGGGTCATACTTCAAGTACCTCCTATAAACTCTAAGAGGAGTCTCGATCGGCATGCCCCTCTGGCTGACGAACACCAGATACGGCTCCCAGATACGATCGTGCTGCGTGACGGGTAGCGCGCAGAGCGCCCGGTCGAACGTCCTCCGCGTGCGGGTGATCAGCTTCTGCTCCGTGAGAGAAAGCAGATACATAATCCAAATCCGGGGCATCTTGTGCATCGTCACCAGCGCCCTCTCGAACGTGTTGTTCAGGGTCTCGTACTGGGAGTGCGCGACGGGCAGGTTCCGGACGATCTCGAGGCGCTCCCGGAGGTACGCGTGCCACAGCTTGTAGCTGCCGGGGAGGGCCTTGAGGGCGCGCTCGTAGATGACGAAGCGCTTCTTGAAAGGGGAGTCGGCCCTCGCAATCAGGTAGCGCCACCACAGTTTCAGGCTGAAGGGGTTCCGCAGGAGCTCTTCCTCGTAGAGGAGGTCGTCTTGCGACGGGTATAGCTCCTTAGGTATCGACATCGCGAAGCACAGAGCAAGAAAACCAAAACCCTCGAAAACCCAAGAGGGAGGGAGGAAAATACGACGAACCCACTTCGGAACGATGCAGGCGCAACGCGAAACCGCAGCAATGGCGCCTAGAGAGAGAAGGCGAGAGAAGTAGGAGGACCTGGTTCAATTGGAGCTTCGGAGTCGGCGAACGGGGGAGGAGTTCGTCCCTCTTTCTCTCTCTCTCGGTGGCGAATGAAAGGAGGGACGCCACGAACGAGACGAGGCTGGTGGGACGAGAAAGCCCTAACCTTTCTGCGAGGAAGATGATGAACTCGGGATCCGCAACAATGGCGTCTCTCTCTCTCTCTATCTCGCAGTGGTGGAGATGCGGGAAGAAGAAGAAGAAGAAGAGCGGATTTGGTGTTTTTGCTCATGGGAGCGGCTACTTCTACTTTTTCATCACCACAGTCACTCATAAGTCAAATTATCGTTTCGGTAAAAATCCAAATTGGTACAATTTTACCCTAGATTAAAACTAGCAAACATCTGACAAATTTACTATGTACTAATTTTTATGAATCCATTGTGTTGCCCTTTATTTTGTGTGCCGAGATTTTGGTTACGTGCGGATCATAAATCAAAATGGAGTGATCGATTCCGTTTATAACTGTGATAAAAATTTGACATATATCTTGCGCGATAAATTATGATAAAAATTCGAGTACGTGAATGAATTCTTCTTGTTTCCGAATTTTTCGCGTGCTGGACATGATATCTTATAATGTACCACATTATGGGGTTAATACCACTAAAATTTTCAAATTAGTATACTATGAAACATTCCAAATTATCTTTCGTCTCACAAAAATTCCTAAATTAGTATTTTCCGAACAAAATGTATCTTTTCGTTAATATGCATACGTGATGGTGCAAAGTGGATTTTTCAGGTTTCTAAGTCAAATTCGTCCTACAATCATTTATCACGTGTGTTGACAGTTACGAATTTTAATGGGATATAGGCGGAATGCTAACGAGGGGTAGATTTTGGTAAAGAGTGCCAGATTGGGTTTTTTTGCGTTAGTTTGGGGTATTAATTTAAAAAAAATTTGTGTGACAAAAATTAATTTATGTTAAACACAAGAATACTAATTGAGAGGATTAGTCTCCTTAGTCATTTTAATTTCATTTCATGCTCCAAAATATCCACTGTATTCAGCTCCAAAATATTAGACATTTCTCACAACAACAAAGAAGGGACAACAAAGAAACTCGAGTTTGTTCACTCCACATGGATTAATTGGGACGAAAGTAAAAGGAGTTAGCATTGGAACATACTGACGGCAATGGTAACTGAACAGGGATGCCATGAACCGAAGGATCATCATTGAATCCTGAGATAAACTTGAGCACTTCTTCTTCTTTTGAGTCTGCGGGCAATTGCACTTCAAATGAGTTAATCCCCACCGACTCACAAGCCTTCTTCTTGTTGCGTACGTAAGTTGCGGAATCCTTCCTGTCGCCAACAAGGATCACCGCTAACCCTGGTACAACCCCAATTGCCTCCTTCATTCTGGATACTTCAGCTGATATCTCGTCTCTGATTAGTTTTGAAACATATTTCCCGTCAATCACTTTGGCACAAGCCTCACTTGCCACTGCAGCTTCACACACACGATAAATTAAGACACGCTTCAAAGTTGCATCTTCCACGCGCAAAAAAATCAGGCCAAAAAGAGCTCAAATCTCAATCTATATTCACGGAAAGCAAAACCCTTTCATTCATTCGGTCCAAGAAAAGTTCTCCAGCTTCCATCTTGCTGAAAATTCACCAAAATCACGGATTTGGCAAGCCGAGTCGGCAATTCTTGATAGGTGATGATGATTTTTCGAAATATGTTAGCAATTTTACGTCAGGAAAATTCCATCATCTTGCTACATTTCACGTACTTCTACTTATTGTGATTTCTAAACCCATAAAACATAAAAATTTTTTTTAACGAAACAGATTAAATTTCATCTTCTTATCCCACTTGGAAAGCACTTGCAACAAACGAATGGAAAAAAAAATCCCACTACCCAAACGAATCCTACCATTCGCACTTCACGAGCATCCAAGAAAAGCCTTGTTGAGCTCGAACTAAATAAAGCTCCATCACAAGATCAAGCAGAGAAGGCAAAGAAAAGTACATAAAGACACGAAAACGACGGAAATAGCGACCGACCCGAAAGTGGGGTCGAAGCGCGGACGGCGAGGGTCCGGAAAGACGGGTCCTTTGAGGACCAAGAACGGCGGGGCAGCGACAAGCGGCGGACCAAAACGCCGGCGGCGTCCTTGCGGAGGCTCACGGGGAAGCAGCGAGACGCAGTTGGAGCCGAACACTCGCTGATCACCACCATTCTCGGGGTTTCTCTCCGAACGGAATCGTGTCGTTTGTACGGCGTACGTCCGCAAGACCAGCTTCTCGTCCCACCAGCCTCGTCTCGTTCATGGCGTCCCTCCTTTGATTCGCCACAGAGAGAGAGAAAGAGGGACGAACTCCTCCCCCGTTCGCCGACTCCGAAGCTCCAATTGAACCAGGTCCTCCTACTTCTCTCTCCTTCTCTCTCTAGGCGCCATTGCTGCGGTTTCGCGTTGCGCCTGCATCGTTCCGAAGTGGGTTCGTCGTATTTTCCTCCCTCCCTCCCTCTTGGGTTTTCGAGGGTTTTGGTTTTCTTGCTCTGTGCTTCGCGATGTCGATACCTAAGGAGCTATACCCGTCGCAAGACGACCTCATCTACGAGGAGGAGCTCCTGCGGAACCCCTTCAGCCTGAAACTGTGGTGGCGCTACCTGATTGCGAGGGCCGACTCCCCTTTCAAGAAGCGCTTCGTCATCTACGAGCAAGGCCCTCCCCGGCAGCTACAAGCTGTGGCACGCGTACCTCCGGGAGCGCCTCGAGATCGTCCGGAACCTGCCCGTCGCGCACTCCCAGTACGAGACCCTGAACAACACGTTCGAGAGGGCGCTGGTGACGATGCACAAGATGCCCCGGATTTGGATTATGTATCTGCTTTCGCTCACGGAGCAGAAGCTGATCACCCGCACGCGGAGGACGTTCGACCGGGTGCTCTGCGCACTTCCCGTCACGCAGCACGATCGTATCTGGGAGCCGTATCTGGTGTTCGTCAGCCGGAGGGGCATGCCGATCGAGACTCCTCTTAGAGTTTATAGGAGGTACTTGAAGTATGACCCCTCTCACATCGAGGATTTCATTGAGTTCTTGGTGAATTCTAGTCTCTGGCAAGAGGTGGCGGAGAGGCTGGCGTCGGTGCTGAACGATGATCAGTTTTTCTCGATTAAGGGGAAGACCAAGCATAGGTTGTGGCTCGAGTTGTGTGATTTGCTCACGAAGCATGCTACGGAGGTTTCGGGTCTTAATGTTGACGCGATTATAAGGGGTGGGATTAGGAAGTTCACTGATGAGGTCGGGAGGTTGTGGATGTCGCTTGCTGAATACTATATCAGGAGGAATTTACATGAGAAGGCAAGGGACATATTTGAGGAGGGCATGAAGACGGTGTTTACCGTGAGGGATTTCAGTGTGATATTTGATGCTTATGCGCAGTTCGAGGAGAGCATGCTTGCTTACAAGATGGAAAACATGGATCTGAGTGATGAGGATGACGAAGAGGGAGAGGGAGAGGATGGGGTACAGGAAAATGGTGTTGAAGAGGATGAAGATATCAGGTTGGATGTGAATTTGTCAGTAGCTAAGTTTGAGAAGAAGATCCTTGATGGGTTCTGGTTACATGATGATAAGGATGTGGATTTGAGGTTAGCTCGATTGGAGCATTTGATGGTCCGCAGGCCAGAATTAGCTAATAGCGTTCTATTGCGGCAAAATCCCCATAATGTGGAGCAATGGCACAGGAGGGTAAAGCTATTTGAGGGTAATCCCACCAAGCAGATTCTTACGTACACGGAAGCAGTGAGGACTGTAGATCCGATGAAAGCTGTTGGAAAACCTCATACACTTTGGGTAGCCTTTGCTAAGCTATACGAGAGCCACAAAGATATCGCTAATGCGAGAGTGATTTTCGACAAAGCAGTGCAGGTCAACTACGAGGCCGTTGATCATTTGGCCAGTATTTGGTGTGAGTGGGCTGAGATGGAGTTGAGGCATAACAACTTCAAAAAGGCACTTGAGTTGATGAGAAGGGCTACTGCAGAGCCATCAGTTGAGGTCAAAAGAAGAGGTACTGTCTTTGTTTTCTTGTCTACTTGTATCCTTTTCAAATGCTTGATGTTACTGCATTTCAGCTGTGTTGCATGATTTGTTTCATTTACATTCTCCTTATGTTATTTTGGGATGTTTCGCAGGCCATTGTGACTGTTATGAAAATGACTGATGTACATGTAGCTTCCTATCGACAAACTAGTTTATCATTTGCTCCAGTGGGATGAAATGCTATTAACTGTGCAATCATATGAAACTTGAGAAGAGTCTGTCCTATGCATATAGTTAACTACTGAAACCACTCTGAGAAAATGATTAGCACTCGTCATCCAAGAGAACATGCCATAGGCACACAATTTGGTGATCTGTGTCTTGCTTTTACATACTATTTTCCCATAAACGAGTCTTTTTGGATCCTGTGATGTCTCTGCGAGACAAATTTCTGTTGTTTGATAGCTAATATGGCTTATGATGACAAGCACAAATTTGGCTTTTTTTCCTTTTCTAATCAAAATTTAATTATCTCTCTTTGTTATTGGTTAACCTCTCCAAATGGCAAACGGATACATTCTGAAGAACAATGTCATTCTCTCTCATTTTTTTTGACCGTGATTAAAAAAAAATCATGGCCTGTTTTGCTCTATAAAGAACATTTAGCTTTTCATTTCTGAGAAACGATTGTCGGGAAAAATTATCGGTGGTGGTGTTGGAAAGGAAAATGAACTTCTGTCAAAGCCATGTAGAGGCTCAAGATCGGCAAACTGAATCTAATTGGTTGATTTATTTTTCTTACAGTGGCTGCTGATGGGAATGAACCAGTTCAGATAAAGGTGCACAAATCATTGAGACTGTGGACATTTTATGTGGATTTGGAGGAGAGCCTGGGTACCTTGGAGTCCACACGTGCAGTCTATGAGCCTATTTTAGATTTGAGAATAGCCACTCCACAGATAATAATCAATTATGCGGTTCTGTTGGAAGTATGAATACATTTTAACAACTTGCTTCGTCTCTCCTTGCTCTTATCTTCGGAGACATCATGCTAATGTTTTTTTCGCGTGCAGGATAATAAATATTTTGAAGATGCATTTAAGGTATATGAAAGATGCATTTAAGGTATATGAAAGAGGCGTCAAGATATTTAAGTATCCTCACGTGAAAGATATATGGGTTACTTATCTCTCCAAGTTTGTAAGGAGATATGGAAAGACAAAACTGGAGCGGGCAAGAGAGTTGTTTGAGCATGCTATTGAAATGGTATGTGAATTAATTTTTCAGATTAGTGTGGTTGGTCCATATTTTTCTGTTATTGAGATGTAGCTGATTGAGCAATGTGGTGGTGCACCAGCTTTTTCTTTCTTTCGTCTTCCTTGAGTTCTTGTTGGCGGGATTTTTTTTTTTCGTTTAAGGAAATACTGTTGAAAGTTGTATGACAGATGATATTCTTAGGGAGTTTTATAAAGCAAGCTAATATCTTGGGTGTAGGTACTTTAGTTTGTTTGCTATTGACTAATTTTAACTAGATGCAGAAATTTAGTCCTAACTAGGTGGAGCTGTGAGTCTGTGATGCTACAGTGATCATTCGGTAGGACGGTTAGTTCATAGGAAAATTTAATAAAAGAGACAAGTTTGTCTCGATTGTGTTGGTTTTGACTTATAATTTGAATTACTGCCCCAGCGTATTCTCATCAATCTGCAAGTATTTGAATTAGTCAAGACAAAGATGAAAGATTTGACTCCACAGACTGAGATGATCAATAGTCTAACTCTCGAGTGATGTAATTCCATACGGATTGGTTTTAGTTACATTCGTTGGAAGAATTTTGTTAACGTCACACCTTATGCTATGATTGCACGAATCACTGTTTCTTGATGTGTTTGTTTCAGTAGCAAATAAATTTTGTAGCATATGAATCTTACTGGTTTCTTTGGATAGTTTTAAGTGTTTGTCAATCTAGGGGTGAATTTGGCAATATTGCTATCATAAAATCGTTTTGCCAATCTCTTTGAGTATGTTTGTGTTGATGAATTTTGTTTAGATGGTTAAGTGATGGCGTACTTTGATGTTTTATACCTATAGTCATTGAACTAATCCTAATATTTGATTGTGTCATTTTACTTCTGCCCATTAGACCCCTTCTGATCAAGTAAAACCTCTGTACCTTCAATATGCGAAATTGGAAGAGGAGTATGGTCTTGCGAAGAGGGCAATGAAGGTGTATGATCAAGCCACTAAGGATGTGTCGATCGTCGCCGCCGCTTCGTAAGTCTCACTTTTATCTCTCTCACTCCGTTCTTCTTTCTGACCGAGTATTCATTCCCTGTTCTTGGCTGGAGAGGTCTGAACGAGTCTTAGAAATTTTGCTGTGGAGTTAAAATTTTCTGCCGAAATTTTGCATTAGCTAGGACTCGCTCGCCAAATGCTCGATAAAACGTACAACTTAGTTTCATGTTAGTTGAGAATGACTTGACGAGTCCGTTTCGAATGCTTCTTGTTTTGTCGTTCTGGTCCTCTATATCTTGTGCAAAGCTGAGGATTGTACAATCTATGCTCAGCATGGACGTTCAAGGAGGTCTTCAAGCGCCCAGAACAGCAGTTGAGAGTAGATTTACTATCTTCAAGATCTCGGAAGGACTTTTCGGACGATTTGCCGAAGCATGCCGGCCTTGCGTAGTCTCCATTGGATCCTATCATAAGGGAGAATCACAGTTTCAGGTTCTGCATTGGCACAAGTTGAGACTACTCCAGACTATGCTGGAGCGAATTCAGTCGTATGGTGCGCTTTGAAAACTTGATTAATATTGTGGCACCACAAGAAAAGAGGATCCGGCAGTGCTATTCTCACAGTACCGACAATTTCAGTACAGCTGAACTTGTGAAAATGATGATTGTTGACCGTTGTTTCATTGTCGAGATCTTGCGTCAAATTGTAAAGTGCACACAGGTTGACAGGATCCTAGTAAGGAATAAACTCATGATGGTTTCTCTTGTGCGAGACTTTGTGCGACTGGAGAACCAGATACCTTATTTTGTTCTCAAAAACTTGTTCGAGGCGACTAATGTTCCAGAAACCAAGAACTTGTCCTATCTTGCCCTCATTTCTTCAATGAGTTGATGGATTTGCCTTAAGGAGAATCAGATTTATTTCCTCTAGATAGAGTGCATTTACTGGATGCATTTCATAATTTCTTTATGTCAAGGGAGATGCAAGTCAAATATCTGTAGATGATAACTCATCTTATGCTTCAATTAGATCGGCATCTGAGCTCCATCAGATCGAAATTGGATTCAAGCCAAGGGCAGCCAAGACTCTCATGGGGATCGCATTTAATAGGGAACGTAGAACACTGGAAATTCCATATATATCAATTGATGATCATTTCAATAGCATTTTACCTAACATGGTAGCTTTTGAACAAAGTTTTGGCAAAGTGATCGGGTATGTAACGGCCTATGCGACATTTATAGGATGTCTTATTCGAACAGCTGAGGATGTGCAAATTTTGCGAGATTGTATAATCATCTCAGATCGCAGCTTTAGCAATGAGGATATTGCAAGCTTCTTTCATGACCTCGGCAAGGACGTTGTGGTCAACATTCAGGGCAGTCATTTAGGATCACACTTTGCGATGGTGAACATATCTCTTAGGCATGAAAGGATTTATCTTTGCTGGGCGCAACTTGTAAATACATTACGTGCCAACCCATAGTCGGTTCTTTCAACACTAGCTATTATAGTCACAGTTTTAGGCGGGGCTCAAACTGTGTACACCATGCTACAGTACCCGCAAGTAGCGTATAGAAGCTTGTCTTACTATGTAGCATGTGCCGAGGTTTTGGAACCGATTACTCCATTTTTAGCATGGACGTTCAAGGAGGTCTTCAAGCGTCCAAAACAGCAGTCGAGAGTAGATTTACTATCTTCAGGGTCCCGGAAGGACGATTTGCCGAGGCGTGCCGGCCTCGCGTAGTCTCCATTGGATCCTATCATAAGGGAGAATCACAGTTTCAGGTTCTGCAATGGCACAAGTTGAGACTACTCTAGACTATGCTGGAGAGAATTCAGCCGTATGGTGTGCGCCTTGAAAACTTGATTAATATTGTGGCACCACAAGAAAAGAGGATCCGACAGCTATTCTCACAGCACCGACAATTTCAGTGCAACTGAACTTGTGAAAATGATGATTGTTGACGGTTGTTTCATTGTTCAGATCTTGCGTCAAATTGCACACAGGTTGATAAGATCCTAATAAGGAATAAACTCATGATGGTTTCTCTTGTGCGACTAGAGAACCAGATACCTTATTTTGTTCTCAAAAATTTGTTCGAGGCGACTAATGTTCCAGAAATCAAGACCTTGTCCTATCTTGCTCTCATTTTTTTCAATGAGTTTATGGATTTACTTGAAGGAGAATCAGATTTATTTCCTTTAGATGGAGTGCATTTACTGGATGCATTTCGTAATTTCTTTATGTCAAGAGAGCTGCAAGTGAAATATGCTGTAGATGACAACTCATCTTATGCTTCAATTAGATCGGCGTCCGAGCTCCATTGTGTCGGAATTGGATTCAAGCCGAGGGTAGCCAAGACTCTCATGGGGATCCCATTTAATAGGGAACGTAGAACACTGGAAATTCCATATATATCAATTGATGATCCTTTCAATAGCATTTTACCTAACATGGTAGCTTTTGAACAAAGTTTTGGCAAAGTGACCGAGTATGTAACGGCCTATGCGACATTTATAGGATGTCTTATTCGATCAGCTGAGGATGTGCAAATTTTGCGAGATTGTAGAATCATCTCAGATCGCAGCTTTAGCAATGAGTGCGTTATACCCATCGTAATCTTCCTTACCCTTTTGGACTGGTTGTGGGCGAGGAGGTAAGTACCACAAGCTTTAGATGGTTCTGGTCCATTAGAAAGTGATTGCCTGGATGGCGTTGATTTTGTAAAATGTGACTCGTGGAATGATTGTATTATTGATCTAGAAGCGCTTCGAGATAGTTTCCTTTCTTCTTATGTTTGCTTAGTTATTATTATTTTCCTCTGCTTGATAAATAATGGGAGATGGACCTTCTTTATGGATAAAATCCTTGTCTGAGTGTTGAAACTTGTGGTACTTGCCTTTCAAGAGAATCTTGGCTTCAGTTGAACTAGGACTGTCTGGGGTTCGAATCCCTCCTCGCCCACAACCGGCCCAAAAGGGGAAAGACCTTTCCTTATGAGGTAGGAAGATAATGATGGGGATAGTGCACCCATAATGAGGAAGGAGCTTGCAATATCCTCATTGCTAAAGTTACGATCTGAGATGATTCTACAATCTCGCAAAATTTGCACATCCTCAGCTATTCGAATAAGACATCCTATAAATGTCGCATAGGTTGTTACATACTCGGTCACTTTGCCAAAACTTTGTTCAAAAGCTACCATGTTAGGTAAAATGCTATTGAAAGGATCATCAATTGATATATATGGAATTTCCAGTGTTCTACGTTCCCTATTAAATGCGATCCCCATGACAGTCTTAGCTGCCCTCGGCTTGAATCCAATTCCGACCCGATGGAGCTCGGACGCCGATCTAATTGAAGCATAAGATGAGTTGTCATCTACAGCATATTTCACTTGCAGCTCTCTTGACATAAAGAAATTACGAAATGCATCCAGTAAATGCACTCAATCTAAAGGAAATAAATCTGATTCTCCTTCAAGTAAATCCATAAACTCATTCAAGAAAATGAGGGCAAGATAGGACAAGGTCTTGGTTTCTGGAACATTAGTCGCCTCGAACAAATTTTTGAGAACAAAATAAGGTATCTGGTTCTCCAGTCGCACAAGAGAAACCATCATGAGTTTATTCCTTATTAGGATCTTATCAACCTGTGTGCAATTTGACGCAAGATCTGAACAATGAAACAACCGTCAACAATCATCATTTTCACAAGTTCAGTTGCACTGAAATTGTCGGTGCTGTGAGAATAGCTGTCGGATCCTCTTTTCTTGTGGTGCCACAATATTAATCAAGTTTTCAAGGCGCACACCATACGGTTGAATTCTCTCCAGCATAGTCTAGAGTAGTCTCAACTTGTGCCATTGCAGAACCTGGAACTGTGATTTTCCCTTATGATAGGATCCAATGGAGACTACGCGAGGCCGGCACGCCTCGGCAAATCGTCCTTCCGGGACCCTGAAGATAGTAAATCTACTCTCGACTGTTGTTTTGGACGCTTAAAGACCTCCTTGAACGTTCATGCTAAAAATGGAGTAATCGGTTCCAAAATCTCGGCACATGCTACATAGTAAGACAAGCTTCTATACGCTACTTGCGGGTACTGTAGCATGGTGTACACAGTTTAAGCCCCGCCTAAAACTGTGACTATAATAGCTAGGGTTGAAAGAACCGACTATGGGTTGGCAAGTAATGTATTTACAAGTTGCGCCCAGCAAAGATAAATTCTTTCATGCCTAAGAGATATGTTCACCATCGCAAAGTGTGATCCTAAATGGCTGCCCTGAATGTTGACCACAACGTCCTTGCCGAGGTCACGGAAGAAGCTTGCAATATCCTCATTGCTAAAGCTGCGATCTAAGATAATTATACAATCTCGCAAAATTTGCACATCCTCAGCTGTTCGAATAAGACATCATATAAATGTCGCATAGCTTCTTCAGGGTGATGATTTAGCAATGATCACCCTGAATTTGGCATATTTTGTGTGCAAAATTTTTATTCGAACAACTGAAGATGTGCAAATTTTTTATTCGTCCATGCTAAAAATGGGGTAGATTGTATATGCCAAATTTTTATTTTGTGTGCCGAGATTTTGGTTATGTGTGAATCATAAATCAAAATGGAGTAATCGGTTTCATTCAGAACTGTGATAAAAATTTGGCATATATCTTGTGCGACAAATTATGATAAAAATTCGAATACGTGAATTAATTCTTCTTGTTTTTGAACTTTTCGCATGCTGGTCATGATATCCTATAATGTACCACATTATAGGGTTAATATCACTAAAAATTTCAAATTAGTATACTATGGGACATTCCAAATTTTACTCCTACATACCCATCACAACAGTTGCTTACAAGTCAAATTACCCTTTCATAATTCGACCAAAATAAAAATCAGTAAAAATTCAAATCGGTACACTTATTATAATTTTAGCTAAAATTAAATCAGGTAAATATGTGAGAAATTTACTCCATAATAATTTATTGACGATCAAAAATCCCAAATTTGTATATTTGTGATAAGTTTCCTTTCTGTTAGTTTCCGTTAAATTAGATTATTACAAGAAAAATCATAAATGGGTATACCTTGTAACAAACCATAACAAACGAAGGTAGAACTCCAAATCGGTACACCTGTGACAAACGGAGCTAAAACTCCAAACTGGTACATTCGACAACTATCATGCATCATCCATCTAAGTAATTTAACAGTAAAATTTAACGAGTGCCAACCGATGTAATTTCAACAAAAAAAAAACCAATGTAATTGACCTCCCTCCAGTTTTCACTCAATCAAATTTTCACTTCGATCCTAGGCCGTCGCCTGTTGGCTATTGAGACCACATTGCCGTGAAATGTCGATTAGAGGACTTAGAATGACGCTCGTGCTCTGACCCCAATACACACGCTGACAAGCATCCTCCAATAATAATTAGCAGCACTAAACGAGCAAGCCATCAATATGGAGAACGAGAAAGAAAGAGGAAGTGGCCGAATGGATTCGCACTTGATCGAAGTAGGATTCTAAGATCATCAATCCGGCTTTCCATTGAAAAGGATTGAGGTCGAGTCCAATGTGATCGAGCAATTAAGGTTCCCGTTTGTTTTACGGAAAATGAATTATTTGGAAAAAAATTTCCAAAAAATAATGATTTGGATTGCTTACAAAAAATGGATTAACGCAAAATATTTTAATTGCTTACAAAAGTGTTTAAATATAAATTGTCGTCGCATTGATTATTCATTTCAAGTGATATAAATAATTATATTTTTTTTTTCGCGAAACAAATATAACGACGTCGTTTATATGCCGTGACTGCACCGGTCCCTTGCCAAGGACGCAAACGTAATTTCCACCCCAACAGCAACGCCGTACATGGCCCGAAAATGGCGTCGGCGTTATTAATCGCCGCGGCTATTTCCACACGCAACGCCATCTCTCTCTCTCTCTCTCTCTCTCTCCCTCTGCAGTTCCCGCGACGGCGATCTTCACGACGTTGCAGCCGCGTTCTCTCTCTCTCTCTCTTCCTCTCTGTAAGCTCTCTCTCTCTCTCTATCTCTCGTGAAAGATGGTTTTTTTATGGGCACCTGGGGCTTTAAGTTTTTGCTTTTGGTGGTGATGATATGAGCTGAATCTCCAGTTACGGATGATTCTTGATCTGGGTTTGATGTATCTCTGATGACCCGTGATGATGGTGGTGATAATTCTTGATGGTCGTGGAGTTTGTGGTGCAGGGGACGTGGTTGGGATTTGAAAGACACTTGTTTGGGTTTCTTGTCTTAACTTCTTATGGAGATCGATATCATTGCGCTTTTTTGTTAAATTTTTAGCTCCGTAGTTTACGCCTGGTTGTAGTCACGCTGGTGGGTCTTTCTGAGTGGTGATGCGGGTTTGCCTTGCTTGCTTTGGATGACATTGCTAGGTGGTTCTGATTTCAGCATTCAGCGTTTGGTTCTGTTTTGCTTTTGCCCTGGTTTGTGTTTTCTCCCGAAGCAATGAAGCTTTGTGAGTTGTTGCCTTTGGGTTTGCTCGATCACATGGACCTGCGTGTCGCTTATCGTGTTTATGTTTATCAAGCTTATCGATTGTTGGTGTTTCTAGCAAGATAGTACTTATAAGCATTTCCCTCAGTAATTTTCTTTTTCTTGGCATTTGATTTATTGGTGAAGGTGCGGTTTTTGCGCGTGTCCTGTTATCTTCTCCAGTCCTCCGCCCTGCCAGGGATTCCCACTTGCTCTATTAACTCCTCACTAGTAAATCTGCGCGCCGATCTATCCACCTGAAATGGAGGTGAAGCTGTGGAATGACAAGCGTGAAAGGGATATGTATGAGAACTTTGCTGAGCTCTATGCTATAATTCGAGCCACTGAGAAGTTGGAAAAGGCGTATATTCGCGACATAATATCTCCATCCGAGTACGAGATCGAGTGTCAAAAGCTCATCACGCATTTCAAAACCCTGGCCTCCACATTGAAAGACACCATTCCCAACATTGAACAGTTCGCTGACACTTACAAGATGGATTGTCCTGCCGCCATAAACCGCCTGGTTGTGTCGGGTGTCCCTGCCACAGTGGAGCATCGGGCTGCGGCAGCTACGTCTTCAACCACCTCAGCCGCCATCGTTGCGGAATGCGTGCAGAACTTTATCACAGCGATGGATTCACTTAAATTGAATATGGTGGCTGTGGATCAGGTGCATCCACTGCTTTCAGATCTCTCTGCTTCTCTCAATAAGCTGACCATACTGCCTCCAGATTTTGAGGGGAAGACAAAGATGAGGGATTGGATTTCGAGGCTCTCCAAGATGGGGGCAGCGGATGAGCTAACAGAGCAGCAGGCCCGGCAACTCCACTTTGATTTGGAGTCCTCATACAATTCGTTCATGGCAGCTTTACCCAATTCCGGTACTTGATATCTTTTGGTGTGGAAAAACAACTTGGGCGTTTTCTGCTTTTTGTGGATATTGGTTAGACACTTAGACCTACGTATCTCATATGTAGAAAATGATGGCGTCTCTTGTATCATAGCATTAGAAAGTGATTGCCTGGATGGCTTTGATTTTGTAAAATGTGACCTGTGGAATGATGGGATTATTGATCTAGAAGCGCTTCGAGATAGTTTCCTTTCTTCTGATGTTTGCATGGTTATTATTATTTTCCTCCGCTTGATTGATAACGGGAAATGACCGATGGACCTTCTTTATGGATAAAATCCTTGTCTGAGTGCTGAAACTTGTGGTACTTGCCTTTCAGGAGAATCTGGGCTTCAGTTGAAGTCATACCGAAAGAAAATTAAATTTGTAATTGCTCGTTCAACAAATCCTTGAGCCTGGTAGTTATGCTTAATTCATAGGTTTCAGGTGTGTTGACTTGCTGCTTATTTGAGTCTTCAAATGTCTGTTAGTGTTACTTGAGGTCTACCAGAGATCATAGACATTTTCATCGTAATTACATGGATGGCATAAAGGATTATTTTGCTTATCTTGCTTCAAGCTGGCTTTGGATGATAGTTGATAGGGTATAATTATACATTGCAATTATAGGAAGCATAAGTCTATTACCTACAAGAAATAAGGCCATCTTTTTCTCGATGCTCCCGATTTATATTTATTGTAAAGGAAGGCTATAATTCTGTATCTTGCAGTAATTTGTCTTGTCGAGGGCAAGAAAAACCATCGTCTGACTAAAGCAGCGGACGAAATGCTCTGCGGTTATATTATGATCGACTTGTTTCCATTTGTTTCTCTCTGCTATAGCAATAGCATCAATAACGATTCACTAACGCCCAATGTCGTACTAGGCACTTTGCTTAACTAAGCTGGTTACTGCTATTTTATCAGTAGACTGATCTTTTATTAAGTAAAACGCGTCATTTCTGTTCATATCTCAGTTGTTGGCTTCGGCAACTTGTCTTCTGGTTTTACCGGATAAAAGTTCAAACTGTCAAAGAAAGAGGAGATGAGATTGAATGCCAAATATCTAACTCGCATATTCGCAATTGCGGGATAATACAGAAATTCAGATGCTCTGTCCATGTTTACTTGGCAAAGAATTCTACAAATCAGGTTATCTTGGGGATTACTGAAGGAGAGGAGATGAAACAAATAAAATTAGACAGAGAAAAGAGAAACAGAAGAAGGAACGATTTTAACCAAAAAAAAAACAGAAGAAGGAACGAAGAACAGACTATAATGGACCTTCCATGTATGAGAAAATCCTTAGCTGATTTTCTCCCCTTGGATTCTGCAAAACTCCAGCGGTGGACTTAACTGGGTCTCTGCACTCACATTCCCTTTCTTCTTATTTCTGTTAGTGACTAATTGATGTTAAGATTGGTATTATCAGGAAGCAGACAATAACAGCACCAAGAATAATGGCAATGCACACCCACTTCCTAGAGCTTTTCTGATATTCCTTCGCTCCTTGAAGCTGATCTGCTCCTCGCCTCACGAACGAGCTGGCCTGAGCGACCTGAGACTCGATATCGTTGAGCTGGTGACCTTGTGCCTCCACCAGTGCAGCCATGTCCAAGAATATCTGGTGCAACTCAATCAGGTTCTTCTCTATCTCCTTAATTGCATCGCGCCTTTCTTGAATCTCTGATATCGTGTCCAAGATTTGACCTCTCCCTTGTTCCTGAATTGCTTTTTGAACAATACTCTCACTTTCTCCACTCGATATTAGGTTGTCAATGGTCTCTTCATCCGCCTTCTGTCCCGTGATTGTGAAGTACCTTCTTCCCACGGTTTCCTTATAATCCGCATTCATTTTTGCCCTTAAGCCCTGGAAATCATCCATCATATCTTTGAGCTTTTTTGCCAGTCCAATAACCACCGAGGTCCGGGTCCGGTCTGCTGATGAACCAGGGCCGCACCCAGGAAGCTTCCGGTGGGCCACATTGGAATGTTCAAGGGCTTCGAGCTTGCCTTTGATGATTTTGACTTGTTTCAAGACCTGTTGCACATCTGAGTCCATACGGTCTCGGACCTGCTTGATTGTTTTGCCGTGATGGATGATTTTGCTCTCCTCATTCGATTCCTGCAATCTCTTGTAGAGCTGCTCCACCTGAGCTGTGTCCTCCTTCACTCTTTCAACGTCTTCAAAGAACTTGTCAAGGTTGACAGTTTCCTTATTGGAATCGGTGTCATCTAGGTATACCTGCTCCTTCAGGTCGGTGTATCGCTTGAACGAATTGGAGAACAAATCATTCATCTTCACCAACCCTTTTCGTCACTCTCTCGTGCCCTTTCTTGCGATGGAGTCGGTCTGAGTGAACTCTCGGCAATGCAGAAAGTCCTGAGTAACTAAATGTGCATGCCTTGTGGGAATGTAGGAAATGATCCTCCTCTTCACTTTCCGTAATTATGTTGCTTCAGGAAGATGGATGGAAGAACAGAACTATCGCCTGCAATATATAAAGGGAGAACGTTAAGCTGCTTATCTTTTCATCTTGACCAACTTAAGGGATCTGAAATTCTGAGTAAAGTGTAGCGTACGCCCTTCGGAAATTGGAAGAAATAGATGGGGAAGTAGCTAAGACTGGCCTGGTCGACCCCCAATGCTAGCTAATAGCAATACAAGTTTACACGTATAATGTCAACCATCTCAGAAGAAGAGCTTCAATGTGGGTCGTGAAGAGCATTAACAGTTCTGGTCAGAGACCACCGAAACCTTAGTGGGGCTTATGTTTCTGCTGACAGCATATCTTACAGACGCGGCACCCAAACTTTTATGAAATAATCTAGGCTTAGATCTGTCAAGAAATTTAAAAAATCTTATTCTGCAGCTGGCTAGGGAGAATCTTCAAAATAAGTGAGACTTACATTTAGGTTTGTGCTGACTTACGGGACGCGAATTTCGTGTGCAAGAATTTGTTAAAGGAAAACGATATTCAACCGGCGACTTTGATTGTCATGAAAGAGAACATTGAGATACGCATGCTAAGAGGGCAATACGTAGACTGCATTTAGGCGAATTTAAATTTGGGGATGCTTTGCTTGGGATCACTCTCACATAGTACCTATTATTTCCCTTCAGGATATGAAGGAACTCCTATATAGTGTTATCAGTGAGTACTTAGACAAGTCGAACAAGTAGAATTTGGATTATTTCCGTAATGCCATTGACGTCGTCGATCACCCTCACGTTGCTAAGACTTTACAGCATGTGAAGCATGGGCAAACAACCAGCTATAATGATGCAGGATCGCTGCTCCGAGACTTTGATGCCCAAGTCTGAATTTCTCCGAGCCAACGCATAAAACACATCACTTACGCTTCCGGCAAAATGTATTAATTCCTTCTCCTCTTGAAAGGTCAGAAAAACGGGCTGGTTAGGTCCCTGTTGCTTCGAGCAAGCGCAACCACCACTTATAAAGGAAGAAAACACAGTACTCGCATCAGTTTTGCTCTTAAAAACTCTGGAAATCGGCTGATATTACAGTGAACGGGGCAATAAAATCGTGTATTAATCAGCAAAATCAATGGCCTTCAACCATTCGGTCTAATTCCTACTCTCTTCCTATGTACAGGAACTAAAATAGCCCAATCTCAAAATGGATGAATGTACAACTACAAATACCTGTCCCAGGCCTGCCTCGGAAACACAGCAAAAACCCTACCTCAGGATCAACACAGCAATGAGTGTTAGGTATACAATACTTCATTTATGCACGGTAGATGCCAAAGCTTTAGCTCGTTCCTCGTTGACCTCTTGATGACCACTCTCTACCGCGTCGCCGACAGGCCTTTCGCCGACAGGCCTTTCGCCGCCATCTAGATCCAGCTTGGCTGGATCGCCTGTGGAATTCCTAAAGCTGTCTGAGGTCGAAAATCTCTGCCTGAGATATTTCTGGGTGGCATCATGCAGCAACTTCATCATACCACCAGAATCTGACCCAGGCGAGAGATCCTCCTCCCGCTCCGGCTGAATATTAAGATCAATCTGACCTTTAAAAGGTGAACCCGAGCTTTTAATCCTGTTCATTTCGTCATCAGAACCATCATTACCAGCTTTTTTCTGGCTTGGGCTGCTATTTGCAGTGTTGTTATTGCATTGTGAAGGGTCGTCTTCTGGTAATTTTTCTGCGAGTGATAGGTTCTGGTGTTGCAACTTCTTGCGCGAACCTTCCGCTTCTTTCTCCGACTGTTTCTTTTCGCGCCTCAGCATCAGGGTGCGGAAACGGCGCTTCACAGTTAGACAGACATTACATGTGCATGTCTGCTTGTGTTTTGGGCCCTTTCCACTAGGGGGTTGAATACAAACAATACACGAACACCCTGGTCGGTGCCGAGGGTGCTTTGTTGTGGCTTGAGATGGTGAAGAAGATGACGGGAGCACCTCGCCTTCTCCTAAGATTGCTAGGTTGGCGAGAGTGTCCAGCCCCTCCAGTGCTTCCATATTCTCTTGTTTAGGAGCCTTGGCTTTCTTAGAAGGTGCTGCACAACCATAATGATGGAAATCAGATCAAAGTCAAAAAACCATCAAACCGTAAGATACAATTCAATACACCAAACTTTTTGCTCAGCATTCAATTTCCTACATGTGAATAAAGTTAAACATTCCCCACACCCACCCCTGAGGAAAAATCTCAGTTGAATAAGGCTGCCTAGAATAAAAGAATAATTAGGCTTAATAAAATTTCGTCACTTTGGATTTGGACCTTGTACTATTATTCAAGCCCTTCAACAGATCCTAGGCAGGTCCTCTAATGAACCATATAGAAGTTTCCATCAGTTTAAGATAAATCAGGGCCAAAGGTCCCATGGCACCTTGCTCCGACCTGAGCTAGGCAACAACCAAATACCCGTTGATCTGTGCTTGATGGTCCCATTACACCACTCACTTGGGAGTTCTTACTCCATGTTACCAAATTGTAGAAAATGAGGGAGCTACTGTCCAGGAATTTTGTAAGGCATTTCATACAGCATCCTAGAAATAGCACCCAAGCACGAGGATCCGCACTATGCAATGGTTATCCATTGTTTGCAGCTCCCCTTGCTATTTTCCAAAGAGGCTCCTACGTCTCAAATCTGCAAGTTTTCCCATTACAGTTGGATAACTCGCTGCTAGGCCAAGGTCCATTTATTGAGATATGATTTCTTGAAAGAAAAGCCTCATTTTGTTGTTAATCTAGACACTGAACACAGGCTATCCCCAGATGACTCAACAATAGTACTATGTTCAGAACCCTTCAACTGCCATTAGGTTGATGGTAAAAGGAATCCTGGGTTGCAAACAGTGATTAATATGCATGAACCATAATGCATGTACTTACGCTAATAGGACAACAAACATGTATAATAGAAGACTCTGGTCTTCTATAAGCAAAGATTTTCGTCTTTGCTCTCTCAGGCTCCAAATAATACTATGAAACAAATAGCAACTTTTAAGTCTTGCTATTATCTTTTGGATACATGTGCGCATGTACTAGCACATAGCTATGGATATGGAAAAAAACTTTTGTTTGTGTTTAAATACCGGTTTGTGGCAAATCTATTTGCTTCTGTGCATATTTGGCAAAGCCATGTAAACAACTTCTGAAACAAATCCAAACTTCCCCTCCTTGAAGGATCTAACTCATTTTTGTCTCCACATTGTAATATTGGTCCATTTCCAAGATTATAAATGTGGTACCATTCAAAGGCAACATGACAAAGTCATAGGCCACAACAGAGGCAATCTGTAACCAGTAATATAATAAGAGTGTAGGCAGTCATATTGTAATATTTTTTTGTCTCATTAATTTAAACCAAAGTACAGGAAGTCTATCCATCTATCAGTGTCCCAAGCAAACCATACCTGGATTATTATTAGATAGCATATCTTCAATCTCTTCTGCCGTCAAGACTTGAGCCGCCGAGCAAGATGATCTGAAGAAACATAATACTTAGAGCTATGGATTGAATGAGCAAGGTAATATACATATTTTTCTATGAAATGTGAAGGTTAAATGGCCAAATGACAACAGTTAAAAGAGCGAAGACATTCTCTAATGAGCATGGCATAACAGAACCAGAGGCTCCCAAAACAATAATAGGAAAAAAGTCATAGATCAGCAATCAGAGAAATATCATATCACTCAAAGCTCCCTATTTGTTGATAGAGTTGCGAATAGCATACTATTCCCCACCACAGAGAGAAAAGGACTACTGTAAATCTACAAGTCTAATGTATCCTACAACTTATAAATAAGAACTAGTTTCAAAAAGCTCATGGGGACATTATAATTTATGCGTGAACATTAATACTAAGGCATGACGGCTGTATAACCCATTTCAAGGAAAGAGTGGAAACTACAGTACCTTTCTGGATCCCAACTGTTATCAGCACAAGTCCATTTTGAGGGAAGAAGGGCATCAGCTGGCAATTTTCTCCATTTCAAGCAGTCTTCGCATTGAGCCCATTGAATCTTTTTTCTGATACACATGAAATACAAAAACATGCCTCAGAATATATTTGACCAAAACAAACACAAAATAAAAACACTAACCATTTGCATATTACTTTAATATATATAGTGATAGGGATTCACTCTTAGCAGAGAGCAGCATTCCAAAGAAGACATTCATAGGGATGATGAACGAATCTCTCATTTAACATAGTGATCCTTACAAAAATTGCAGCTATCGTTTCAGGTTCACAAGCTTTTATGCTAACTAGTATTTGATGTATACTAGTTTTCATGCTTATCACATTAATATACATCCATAATCTCTAAATTGTGTGTCAGAACACCAACTCCATTTACTCATGTAACAAGATTCCGAAATGAACAGTAACAAAAGCAATGGTTGGAGCACTAAACAAAGTAGTTTACTCATGTAACAAGATTCTGACATTAACAGAAAAAAAAAGCAATAATTGGAGCTCTAAACAAAGTACTTTACCCCACAGCATCCGTCCTAAAAACTGTTGGCTTCCCGAGTACTGGAGCATCCTGCCATAACAAACGTGTCACAAATCAAGCCTTTCCATACAGCATAATTTATCCTGCGTATTATCTCAGAGCTAAAAGAACCACCATACACCACCTAATACTCATATACCAAAATCTTCATTCAATTTTTGGTCCCCTTTTCACCCAAACCACAACAGACAAAGTGTAGAGTATTGGTCAGCCAAGGTAATTAGATTCTCAATAGTTCTGGCTTTTTAATAGAATAATTATCTGGTAGAGGTGGTCTCTATCCTTTTGGTAAAGGGGAAAGCATTCATGTACATAGCCAATATGTAAAAAATTGAAAACAGCTCATTTCATATGAAAGAATATGAAAAAGTCTTTTACCTCATACTCCTCAAACTCAAAGCCCTCAATTACCACTACACTAGGTCTGTGATTAGGAGGTGGACGAAGCAGTCCTTGAGCTTCTTCCCATGTTAGTTTCAGCTCTATAACGTCCTCATTTTCAATTCTCAGTCGCTTACTTTTTGAACCCAAGGTACTACTCTTCCGTTTTCTGGACAAGGAAGATTTAGCCCCAAGAACTTCTTTTGCGATGTATCCAGATTTATCAACTTTAGACCATGAACTAGGATCTGCCAATTCAGCCTGCTACATTGGGGGAAAAGGCTTAGAATTCGTGGACTGCTTTTGGAACAAAAGTCCCAAATTTAAAATCTCAACCATTGAATTGTACTCACATCTTGCACAGTAATTCCGCTGCTACTCTTAGCCGTTTCATTCTCCTGCAGCAAGATGAAAATAAAGAATTTATACTTCAATTTAATTTGAAACATATTGAAACAGACATGCTATATAAAGCTTTTATTTCTTCTAGAATAGTCAAACAAAAAGATTGGCATAGGATTCAGATAATCAACAGCATTACTAAGCAATATAAACAAGAAGTTCCATTTACATTTCAGGAAGCCGGTAAATGATATCTCCGAGGTCTAGCATGTACACAAATAAAGCCAGGAAAAGTCAATTATTGCACGAGTCCAGACCTGATCAGATGGGGGAGCAGTTGAAGCCTTTCTGAATCCCATGATCAATTTTCCCTCTGGTTCTAACCGACTAAAGGTTACTGAGAGGGAACAAAATCAAATCTCAGTCCTATAGCCAGAAGAATAAAAAACTTATAGAAATAAGGCAATGACATTTGTCAGCAGCAGTAACTCAGGACGAAAGGTCTTGTCGACAACAACATTGCTCCTACTGATTATGCCAAACAAGTTTTAATAAGTGTAGTACTGCACTATCCAATCATGTATAGTTCCTAGAGGGTAAAATATCGAGTTTGATGCATCCTATTCCGCAACTGTAAGTATCTTACCTATGTCTCCTGCTTGCAACTGCATGGACTGTATGCATGGCGTGACTCCTTCCAGAACATACATTCTACTGTTATTATTGGGCCAAAATCGAAATTGAAATATCCACTCTGAGCCTTTGGCATCCTGAACTTTGAGAGGCAATCCTTCAGGCTGAGAAATAGGCGGAAAATATGCCTGTACAGTTCCACAATTTCACTTGTAAACTTTTTTTGCAATAAGTAAAAACAAAAAAATTTCAGAAGAGGGTCCAAAAGAGGAACCACCCATTTTACAACTCCAGGAAAATGGAAAAAATGTAGAAAGTTCAAAAAAGAATGTTGAAATCTGAGTGCAATGCCAACACCCAAGAAACTTGATGAAGATATCCTTCAAGATTTAAATCATAAACAAGAGATGTTCCAAGTTTTGGAAATGCAAAAGATGTTCCAAAGTTCTCAAAAAGCCCTTATTTTTATTCAAATTTGAAACAAGCAAAATAACTTTTGCTTTATGAAAAAAAACATTTGTGTTCTCGTAACTCAAGTTGAGTATTGTCTAGACCAGTTCTTCATCACATGGCCCAGGAATGGCCGAACCCTAAAGCTTCTTTCACATTTGTGTTCATCACGCTATCTGTTTGTGGCTTTAGCAATTTTGACATCCTTTGATAGGACGAATTAACAAAAAAGACCCAGATAGAATTACAAAACTTCTAACAATGTATGAGAGCCTTTTCCAAAATGGCAGGTTTTCAAATAATCAAACTTCCATTTTGTGAGCACAAAACTCGACCTTAATTCTTTATGGTCAGACCTCATTGCAGCTTTTTTTTACAACTTGTCATTGCCAGGGGGAAAAATGCAAAACCACCCTAACCAATTTGGGATCAATTGCAATTTTGCCCCCTGTTCTTTTAATTTTTCAATTATCTATTGTTGAAATTTACTGCAAATAGGCACCCAGATCATAAAGTGTCAAAAATACCCTTAAAGTCATTGCAAACTCCCTCTTGGACTATTAATTAGTTGGAGTCACCCCATTGCCCCTTCCTTAACCCAAATATCTCCATAATTTCCAGCAAAACCCATACATCTTTAGATCTGCGGACCTTAATACCTTAGTCAATTAATATTTAAACTAATGGTACACCTTGGGCTGCCGTCTTTGGCAACCCAAAGTGTAGCAAATTTGAAGAGAAGTCTAGGCCAACAGGTACTTCCTTTGACAAAAAGAGGAAGAAACTGTGATGTATCTTCTAAACTTTCCAAGGACAAGAATCGTTTGGGCTTTGACATATGCTTCTATAGGTTCAAGCTGGGTCATTGCGGGGTCTATTAAGCAAGAGCTATGAGCATGGAAGGGTGTTCAGATCCCTTGTCATAATATAAAATGGATTTCCTCAATTCCCCTTTTTGTTTCCGAGTGGTCTGGAAAGACCAGAACGAGAGACCTTTCGAAGGCGAAAACCCCTCTATCCAAACACTACGTGAAAATTGCTTTGCAACTATAGACTTCTGGTATTGTGGGGAATAGGTTGATTTGGATTAGAGGTATAGTGGGGATCTACTCTTGATATAAATGCTATAAATTATACATGGGTTTCTTTTCTTGTAAATGAGCTCTCTTTTGGCTTTGAGCTTTTCTCGTATGGGTTTGCAACTTCTTAGTGTAGTGAGTTTTTCTTTACTTACGGAAAATAGAATGTGATTCACGATGCTTCAAATGGCATAGAGGTTGCGTAGGAGCACATTCCTTCTAGAGGTAAAACAACTTTGAGAAGTTCAACTAAGTTCAATATTAGGATCAGCTTTTCTATTTCGCAACAAATTCAAAGAGATGAGGAATAAGTTGCAACACAAAAAGAGGCAGTTTGCAATTGACCACAGTTGGAGAGGGGTTACGTGCAATATTCCAAAATAATATAATATAAATTGATGTCGAAAGGAAAATGTTAAATATTGAACTACAGGTTTTTCTTTTTAAAGGGGCTTTAGAAATACCAATCTTTCAAAGACTATTTGAAATTGCCATAATTTTTCTTTGCTTGTTTTTTCCTTCTTATGTTTAACTTTATTCTTATCACTTATGTACTTCTAAAGCATCTCCCGCCAAAAATTGTGCACGAAAAAGTCTAAAGTTACTACTGTAGATGTCATATCTGAAAACCAGCAGTTCGCCTACTTAATCCTCTAGGGCCCAAATAACTGAATTTCCTTCCCATGATAAGTGTAAATGGATCGGCTCGATCTAAAACTTGAAATGATGAGTGTAATCCCAAAAAAAAGTTCATAGGCGATTATTAATAGAGTTGAGACAACCAAATTCTGACGGATCAACATAAATTTATACCTAATTGCTCCACATATAGTTCCTCTAATTGCCTTTATTAAACAAACTAGAGCCAACCTGGAGAAAGTGGAAACTATCTAAGAGCCCACAAGGGAAGTGTACGAAAAAGGACTTGTTACGTCTTTCCCATCATATTTTTACTCTCTTGTCAAATGGTGAACAATAAGTCTAATTTTGAAAAATCATAGAAGGAAAATCCCAAATGACTTTAGATGATAATGTTTTCAAGTTTCACAGTATTAATGTTATATAAAGGTCAAATTCCAATTGCACAATTAAAAGCTAAAACAAAATGTTAAAGACCAAAGCCACCCCAATCACCTCTACATTTGGTTCAATATACAAGCTCAACCGCTTTTCTAAAGCAGCAGAGGAACTGCTCAAATAATGCCTACATACCATCGCGATGGAAAAATTCCCAATCTCTCTTCACTTCTTGTATAGCAGGAAGTTAAACTTCATACTTCTAGTTTGTTGGAAATATTAGAAACAGCCTTTTGTGCCTAACTTTGTATATGGGTGGCTTCTACTCGAAGCCCTTTTGAATAGGGGCGGTACCCCCTTGGAACGTTCTTAATGAAATCTCATAATTGTAACAATTTAGCCAAGATGGTCTTACCTCAGCACATTTTTTTGGCAGCACCAAACGTCCAATTTTACCTGCATCACTAGCACTCAACATTTTCTCAAACAGAGGAGTGATTACAGAGTTCGAGCTTTTAAAAGTTAAGGAATAGGATCATGAATGCTAATTATTAGCAGAGGTGAAACTGAACCTTCCACCATGCTGATATTGTACTGAACAAGTAATGGAAGTAAAAAACGTGCTGAGCTAAAGAGTTGGATTTTGAATGATAAACAGTAGTCAAAAGTCATTTTCATCCGGTCTATTGAAATTGTAACCCTGTTCTATCAACGCATTATAGTTACTTTCTTGGGGAAAACACCAAAAACAATTATATAGAGAAAGTTATTAAATCCATCTTTCTATGAGCTGCTATAAATTAAAAAAAGCACATAGAACAAAAGGATACTCTCCAGAGATTTGTTGTAGCTCTTGATCTGTTATCCTGGGCCAATAACGAGGAAGTAATTGATTCCTTCCCCTGGCATCTCCTCGAGGCCTTCCATTACGTGCATGACTTTCACCAGATGAGTTAGTATCATTGAGCATACTTCCATAGAAATGCTTTCCCAGCGTTGAGGGTGCTGGCCGAAAATGCCCTGCAAGTCCTATGTGACCATTTGAGTCATTGCCCGAAGCATGCGGCACAGCCAATCCATATGGTGGAGTAGATGGATCCTCCTTCACAGAGGTCGACTGTTGAGGATTGATCTTGCATGGATTTAGGTGGTCGTCGCTGTTGGGTCCTGTAAGAAAATGTTGAAAGCGGGAATTTATCTCAAGAACCCTCTAGATTGTCCTCACATGATCATCAGAGTATGAAAAGCAATACCTGCAATGCCATTTTCAAGTTTCTCGACTGCACCAAGCTTCACATTTCCATTCATAAATCTGTTGGAGAAGTCTTCTATTCTCCTATTGTCCATGGAAGAAATAGAATACCGTTCACCAACTCCAAATCGATCCATGCTTGTGGATGCATCATGTGGCGCCCTAGGCTGCAGCTCAGGACGGGACATGGATGTATTAAACAGAGTAGGTGCCTGCCTCCAAGGTACAGGACCTGATCCAGCTAATTGATTCCAATTTTTCACAGAAAGTTCCTTAAGTCTATCAGGAAAAGGTGCATGGAAAACCAAAGATGGCCATGCTGGATTTGGAGTCTGAAAAGGTAAACATGAATTAATACTTCAGTTAAAAGAGAGGCATCATTATCTATGAGTCATGTCACAGAGTCATGTCACACGAGTGAAGGATGGTGAATAGGAAGAAAACACATATGCTGTTCAAATGGTACATAAAAATGACCATATACCAATCTCATGCCAGAAACAAAGTTCCACTTAAGTTGGATGATCTATGGAAATGATACTTCTACTTTACTAGAGGACTGTGAAGAGAAGTGGAGGGGGAGAGAGGTTGTGAAGTCCAAGCAGGAATAACAGCTTAGTAATTTTTTTCTCATCACAAAAGAACAAGGGTCCTTTTCTTTTTTTCGTCGAACAAGGGTCCTTATTAATTGGTACATAAAACTAAAAATATTATTGCAAAGAGCACAAACATATTTAATATGTCCAAAATTAGATGTAGGCACGTGAACCCATAGAGCACAGAATTTTGGCTTCATCCTTAATCATATAGCAAGAAACATGTTTATAATGACATCTTGTGATGGCAAGATAATCACTGTACGACAAAGCACGATAGTTTGGAAAAGCTTCACATGTTAAGCTTAGAAATAGACATTCAAAATATGCGCAACAAATTTATCAAACTATAACTGACGCTCATGGTTTATCTTGCTAAGTTGTCCATCAGTTCTCCAAGCTGAAAAGTCAAATACCAGTAAAACAAAAATATGGCATATCTGAGACAAAATCGCACCAGTAACTCTTCTTTTCTTTCGCCACTATATTCAGTTTCACTTTGCATACTTTGCGATGCTCAATGAAACTGCTAGTTCTATATACCAACATCGTAAATGATCCAACCTCCAAGACCAGGCATATCCCACCAATTAGAGGAACTTCAGTCTCTGTAGTTTCAACTATTATGCTTTGTTCAGGAACTCAAGAGGTGGGGAAATTTCGGGGGTGGGGAACTATTAAAAACTTTCCCTCCGCGTCTCTCTCACAAAAATTTGAAAACATTCATATTTTCCTCACCCACTTTCATTCCCTCCCCTTTTCTCAGTTTACCAAACGGAGCCTTTGTGCATCAACAATGTCAATTCAGCTCTCTCACAGATATCTCTCAAAAGGACATTGGTGACGAGAAATATTTATCTCAACATCTGCTCTCAGCAAAACACTAACAAAGAAAGTATATACCAATGCCGAGCATAAGCATAACAGCCACACAATATGATCAGAACTTGAGAACTTTTTCATTCTTGGGTTGATAAATGAGAACATGAAGGCTAATAAGTTAGACTTGCACAAGATACCCAACAATAGTGAGATTCATAATTACCAAGACTAAGTTTTTCCGAGCACATGACATGCACTCAATTCCTCCGGGATCCAACAGGGCAAATGCAAGAGCTGAGACAATACATCCACAATGTACCCTCTGCAAAGGAAATTTAGCGATTATCATGAAATATAAAACAACAGAATAAAACAACCGATTTGACATATCTTGTCTTTTAACATCAACTAAGAAGCATACATCATCGGGGTTAGTTTTCTCCTCACCTTCCCACATGATTCACAACACCTCCAACCAGAAGCATTTGGGTGAAAAGTTTCGCAAAATCTGCCTTCCTCATAAATATTGCTGAAGCAGAGAGGAACTTGGAGTAAGATATTCAACAAAGCCATCATTTGACATATTAAAATTGCTGAAATAAAGACAACCTTAACTATAAATTGTCCCCAAATCTTAGAAAGGAACTTAAATTAGAAATGTTCTTTCGAGATACTGTAATTAAATCAAGGTTACACGTTCACTATTTGGCTTTTGTGTTTCTTCATCCCGAATGAACTAAAAAGTCAATGTGGTATTGTGACTAAATCTTACATAGATCATGGCGGAACTTGTTCACTCCCAATTCACACGCTCTAGTCAAATTGTTTCATATAGTAACCAATCAAATCGTACAGGTAAAATTTATGAAGTTCAAGTTTACAATGTGAAAACCTTGTAATTAAATCAAGACAAATATCATAAATCTAAATGAAAAAATCTATTTACAGTCCTCTAGCTGAATAGAAGAAAGAAGCTAAGCAAAGGGAAAAGGAAAATTCTCATAGCAATACTATGCATGATTAAGCTATCGAGTACACAAACTGAACAGCAGAAACAGATTAAGGAAACAGAGAACTGCATTAATCAAGAAAGGAGTGATTTAAGGAAAGTTTGGCAAAACATTTGAAAGGAGCTTTGAGCCCATTAAGCTCTTTGGGACAACAATGAGGTGTTGCAAATATCCTTCAAAAATAACAATGAGGTGTTGGAAACACCGTGTGAAAGACTTTGAGCCTCAAAGTCGCTTTGATAATGCCCAAAGTGCAAGCAGGTCTCCCCTTGCCTTGGCTTTAAAGCATTCTTGGGAAGCCACTCCAATTTGTAATGAAGTTTCAATCTGCCCATTTCACCCTTGTTTTTATTTTATTTTTTTGGTAAGATTTCACCCTTATTGAAAAGTGATTATTCCACATGTGCCCCTTCAATCAGTCTCTTCTCCTCCACAATGGTTACAGTACCAAAATGTGGCGAGCATGGACTGGCAACGGGAAACGGTGAATGGGATGATGGTTGAATGGTGAATGGAGAACAGAGAATGGCAAACTGCAATTAGTGATGTTTGATACAGTGATACAAATATCAAGATTCAATTAAAGAAAAAAATTCTAGACAGAAATTTTCGAACAGTTGAGGAGCCATGCACCAAGTATTTGCTTTGACTGAATCAAGTGAAATGCAAATGCTCTGCACAGTGCAAACTTTCAGATGGAAGCAGTCAAAATGCTAAAGGAACTGAACAAGGCCATGGAAAGTAACATGGCAAATTTTTCCCATTGGCCACAACTGTTTTCTGCCTCGAAACACACTTCTACTTTCTCAATCTGGACTAACTAGATACCACTCTGAAATGGATTATATTAAGCTGAGCAAGTGACTGCGCAGAAAAGTCCGCATAAAGAGCAAAAGGCGCGAAATTTATCTTCTCTTGGACTAAAAAATAATCTTTTGGGGGGAGCGAGGCGTGGTCTCGCGCGTAGATGCCCAGATATTGTATGACTAAATCACGCATGCCCCGCGAATAAGGTCAGGCTGCGAAGCTCTTTCGCCTCCCAATAAGCTACACTCTCCACGAGCGATGAAGTCCTTCAAAAACCCAAACAGCAATTCAAGTCTGTTTCCCGCTTCCACTACTCAGCTCCAAAAGTAGATGAGACCAATGTACCAAAAGGGGGCAGCGGATGGCAACACACTTGAGCTCTGTAATTCAACAGTACCCTTTCCATATGAAGACTCCATTACCACAAAAGGCAGCGAATCTCCACATCCTTCCTCGCAAAATTAACCCCAATCACGTGACCATACCAACGCACCCATAAGCGCCCGCGCAGCAGTAACTCCAAACCGGGTCAACAAACGTAAAAACCGAAACTACCGCGAGGAAAACGCTCACTCCCCCGCCCCCCCCCCCCCCCCCCCCAAAGCTCAACTGCCACAAACACTGACCCGAACCCAACTAAGAAAAACGCTTCCCAACAGCACCGAAACGGTCGACAGAGAGTGGGAAAATCGAAGGAAAGAAAAAAAGAGCCCGGCTTACGCGCATCGATCGCAGAGCTCGGCGAAGTCGCCGGCGCGGAGCCGCCAGCCCTTCCGGGGCCTCTCCGGCTTGGCCTCGGAGCACTCCGGGTTGAAGCAGGCCTTCGCCGGAGCCGAGCTCGGGGCAGGAGGGGGAGCCGGCGCCGCCATCGCCGCCGCCGCCGCCGCCGCAGCAGCAGCAGCAGCGGAGGAGGAGGGAGAAGATGCGGCCGTCGTCTACGGCCGGAAGCAATGCATAATCCCCGCCCCCAAATTCAACGCGACGAGGCGGCCAGTCAGTCAGTCGGTCAGCCCGCAGTAGCAGAGAGAGAGAAGAGGAGAAGAGGAGGAGGAGGAGCTCGAGATGCGGGGGAACGGAGAGTTGGCGTGCGACCCTGATCTGCAATCACAGAGGAGAGAGAGAGATCGAGGAGAGAGAGGGTTTTGGACGAGGAGGAGGAGGAAGAGGAGAGAGAAAGTGAAGAGAAGAAGGGGGGGGGAATTCGTGCGTGCGTTGTGCGTATGCGAGAGAGGGCTTAAAGAGCACGTCCGAAGTCGTGCCTCAGTTTTGGCGTCGCCTCTCTCTCTCTTCTTTCTCTCTCTATCTCTGCTTTCTCTCTCTTCCGATGCGTTTCTTGTTTCGGTTTTTCTATTTTCTTTTCTCCTCTCTCTCTCTCTCTCCTCCTTTTTTCCTCACGTTTTCTTTTTTTTTTTTGTTTCGAGCGCTCCCTCTTTTTTCTCCTCTTTCACTCTCTCTAAACGGTCTGTAAAAACGACGACGCCGTCCACGATCGCCACTGGGGCCGGAATTCATTATTGTCTCGCGGCCGCCAATAGAATAGTGCGCTCGCCTCGAACGGTGTCTTTGGGAATTTTATTGGATTAATATTATTTAGTCGGATTCCGAATGATTAATTCTATTAAAAAAAATCAGAGAAAATTTCAAATGAGGACCTAAAAGTGCTCTCGTTTTCTCGGAAAATGGTCTAAAATGGATTGTATCTCAAATAAGGGCATAAAGTGGATAAATCGTCTCAAATAAGGACTTTTGACCGGCCGGTAACTATTCCAATAGCCAGAGAATGGGTATTTTAGCAAAAAAATTTAAGTATTATTTTTTTTTATTTTGTTCCTTTTCTTTTTTTCTTTTTTTTTCTTTTCTCCCTCGCCATTGCTAATGACCTCCACCGGTCTCAGTCGCGAGCAGCCCTCGCATGAGTCCAGTGACCTCCACCAGGCCAATCGAGGAAGAGGGAAAAGAAAAAAGAAATGGAAAAATAATAGAAAAAGGAAAAAAAATAAAGGACGAAAATATCCTTTAGCTAGCAAAATCATATCCTTATTTGAGATTGATAAGGTCACTTCAGATCATTATTTGATATAAGGTTCACTTCATATCTCTATTTGAGAAAACGATGGCATTTTAGGCTCTTATTTAAAACAAAATCCACTTCAAGCACTTATTTGAGAAAATGATGACATTTCGGGTCTTTATTTGAGATTTTTCCTAAATTAAAAACATTGATTAAGTAAAAAATAAATTAAATAAGAAATCCATCCATGGAAATTGGTGCCTTTTTTCTTTTACTTGTTCGCATTTTTCCAAACAATATCCAACGAGAAAAAACCCCCGAGCTCGGGGCTCTCTCGTAATTTCTCCCGGGAGTTGGGCTCGCGCTGGACGGCTTTTACCAAAAACTTACCCCCCCCCCCACCCCAAGTTCCAACCCCACGCGCGGCGGCAAAAAAGAAGAGACAGAGAGCGCACGCGAACGCACGCGCGCGAGTGGGGCGGAGGCAAGCGCTGCGGATGTCGTCATGGGGCGTTTACTGCATGGGACACGCGAATCACGTAGCGGCGACGACGCCTGCTTCGCTTCCGGAGGTGAAAACGGACGCGCTCTCTCGGCGTCGGGCGTTGACGGACGTACGTCCCCCCGTGCGACGACTCCTCGTTCGCGCTTTTTACCTTGCGTCAAAAGGCTCGCGAGTCGCGAGTGTAATGAAGACGATAACACGAGAGCTCCGACTATGGTCGCACTCCATAGCCTTCTTCTTGGTGTTTTTTGTAGCAGCGAATGCTTCCGTTGTTCGGTTTCCTAAGGCGACGTCGATGCACCGTGAATGGTGGAGAGCGATTCCCATTTGCATGTGAAAAAAGGCGGCTCGCGATAGCGGTGTTCCCATGAGCAACCAACCCGGCGAGACTAGCTTGCCACGGCAGATTCATTATATTGAGAGGAAACATCAACTAATGGTCTGAAGTAGGGGTCGTTTTCTTGAAAGAGGGTTCGGAACAGGACTTGTCTGAAATAATGATTTGAATTGGTCAATTCTGTCTCAAATAAGAGCCGACTTCATAAAAGAGATCCCAAGAGTATTTGTCTTAGATAAGGGTGTGATTAGTCAAGCCCCTACGATCCGTTCTTGACCCTCTTTTGAGAAAATGACCTCACTTCATGCATTTATTTGAAATTTTTCATCAAATTAAGGATATGTTAAATCGACCTTAGGATTGGCCTGGCTAGTTGAGGAGTCGAAAGATTGGTCAACCAAAGATCACATGTTCAAATCTCATCAACTGGCAAAAACTCTCAGACTTAATCGGTCCATAGAATTTCTAGGATGTCCGATGAGCTTATGCGTACTCGGACCTCTGCGCTCGCGCTCGCGCTCTCGGACTATACAAATGAAATGAGAACATAAAGAAACATGATCCTGGAGCAAAACAATGGGGGTTTAGAAGGCGTGGCGGTCTCAACGGTAGTGGTTGAGGAGGACAACGGCAATGACCACCACCTAACAAAGATAAAATAAGAGTAAGGACGGGAGAGAGATGTCGCTGTTTGGTGGTGCAGAAGTTGTCCATTACTTGAGCAACGCCCTTGACTCGTCCGCGCACGCAACGCGAGTAATCATGTTTGGAAGAGCGTTGAAGGGAAGAGTGGCCTTCAAATTGCCGTGTGTCGTCATCCAAAGATTCATGCAAAAACTTAATCCTACCCCAAAGAAATTGTGATGGTGACGATTTCTTTAGTGACAGGTAATCCGGTTTTGCGTATGGCAAATAGGGATGGCTACAAGTTTGCTCGAATCGGATCCTGGACCCACGTCGATTCTATAAGACGGTAATCTTGTTTGGTATAGCGAGACGAGTTTAAGGTCCCGCTCAGAATGCCCTATGGACTATAGAGTTCGGAGCTGATTGAGGATATAGTTGGCCGGTACCTTGATACCCAACAAATTATAATGCTGAAACTATTCATTAAAAATACTCGAGATAATAGATAATTGCATTATTAGTTTTGTATTAATCTTATTCAGTCGAGAATATCCATTAAATTACAATTAGGCGGCTCTGATAGATTCTTATGTACTTTGTCTAAACAAGCTTGAGACCAGATGCGTTTGGAACCTGTCTCGGGTTCGGCTTCGTGTTCGGGTTCGGGATAAGATCAATCATGTTTGTGATGGTAGATAGAACCGTCGCTACCCAAGAGCCACATTTGTGAAATCATCCTAAATTCGTATTCTGTCCTTTCAATCTTGTGAAAGCTGTGAGTCAACATAGAAGGCATCAGCTACTCGAAAAACCACGTGTTTTTTTCCTTAAAGACAACAACTTCAACCGAGCGTGTTCACCCACGATCCGACATTCTTGTCTCAAAAAGACTGAAGACATCGAAGTAGGCCTAAGGTAGAAGGCTTTGAGGACTAAAGAAAGGATCGAAAGATCGAGCATCCGACGTGATGAGCCGTTAAGATCTAGCGCGACGGTTTGTTGCTTCTGCAAATCTATCGGGATAGACTAGATAAGGGTTTGGACGTGCGTCGTGCGTCGATACAAAGCAAGACAAGACAGGCATAGGATCGATCAAGAACTGCCATGCACGTTTGTAGTTCCTGTTTTATTCACATAAAGGCCACAACATCAACCGAGTCTGTCCATACATGATCCAACATTCTTGTCTCAAAAGGCTGAAAAAATCGAAGCAGGCCTAGGGAAGAACTTTGAGGACTAAAGAATGGATTGAAAGATGCGACGTGATGACCCGTTAAGATCTAGTGCAATAAGTTTGTTGCTTCTGCAAATCTATCGGGAAAGACTAGATTAAGGTTTGGACATGCGTGCATCGACAAAAAGCAAGACAAGACAGACATAGCATTGATCAAGAACCGCCACGAACGCTTTGTAGTTATTCATAACTGCTGAACTCGAACGTGTCTAGGGCACGCCAAACAATGCTTTGTGTTTTCTTGGTTTTCCCCAGAAGAGGAGTCGAACAAGAGCGAGCACGAGCTCTATTCGATGACGGACAGATCTTTAATAATTGCAAGCATCGGCGGTTCTTATCTTCTTTTGTCTTTTGGTATGAGACACGACAGATGATAGTTGATGCAGTTACGTGAATCAATCTACATGCTTCGTGCAATGGTACAGAAGACTGGCGACAATGTCGAGACTGGTCTCCGAATTCTAAGCCAATGTTCAATTCGATTGCTTGGATTTTAACTTCGATTTCGAACTGATTTTGTCGCTCAAGACAACTTGCACGTAGGACCTACATTTGCAGACACAGCCACCTCGGCAGAAGGTGGGGCGATCCTCGTCAGGTTAAGAGCATTGTCAACTCGAACTCCCAAATGACAATTTTTTTTTATAATAATCGTCTAATTTTCTAGACACCTTATATGAGAAAAATCTTCAGTGGTTTCGAAAGTACTTGAGATTTCATATTACAATATATCCATGAACCAATAAGTCTAACTCAATTTCTCTACTAAATAATTTTTGCGCCGATATTATTCAAATCATAGTGTCTGCCACTCAGAGTAAATTTTAGAGTTACACACACTACCTATGGAATCACATATGATCTACACGTGGGCACAATAAGTTAGGTGTAATTAGATTTGTCAAAATGGATCATAAACTCATTTCTTAACTCATATTTAATGGGTTGAGTCATTATATGAGTTAGCTATATTCAGTAAGTGAGTTATAAATGGATTTGGAATGGAAAAACCTAAAAATATATGGGTATTAAATAGGTTCACAGTTTACACCTAATCCGCATTTATGATCGTTTCTTCACCCTCTACGAGAAAATAATGGACTCTTCGGACTATTCCAAGTTCAGAGAAGTCTTGGTGGACCCATAAGAAGGGCCCGACTTTACACTTTATTAAAAATATCAAGAAGTCTTCTTTTTTTCCCCATTATTTTTTATTTTTATTGATCTTGTAAGTTTAATCTGTTAGTTATTTGAGTATATTTTTCCTTGGTTGCATTTGGTATTGTTATTTCTATGTAATATTCTCATCTTAGTTCTTGTCATTGCAATCCATGGTCAGCATAAATCATCTTCATCAATATCTTATATTCCATTTAATTAAAATTTCAATTTATTCGTGTTATGTGTTGCTGAAATTTTATCAGTTCACTGCCAAGTACTAACTTTCTCTTAGTCTTCATTGTGAACCAATACAAAAAATTGAAAATTTTATGTAATGTAGAAAGCCAATTATTCTGCGTCTTATAGTCAAAATAGCGATTTTATCCAAATAACATATACACATAAAGAGCTTAAAGTGAGTTAAGTGGATGCATTTTCATAGGTCGGATTAAATATTGAAGTATTTTAGTAAATGGTTTGGGATAAATATGAGTCACTAAATTTGTATTGCATATAAATGGATCAAAATGAGTTAAATTGGTCAATTTGGGTTGGACCATTTCCAACCCGACCCAAACCCGATCCGACTCGATCCGCCCATTTGATGGCCCTACGCGTAATCCATGAAAATCAAATCATAAGTCTAAAGTTTAGAAATAGAAATAAGAAAAAGTTTTGGGGAGATGTTTTTGGCAGGAAGCATGAGTGCATGCACAATGGCATCGAGGCTTTTTTAGCTTGACAAGACCTTGAAGCACCTATAAATCTTTTGTGGGAATCTCAGGAAATTTGATCTGTGTGGAAATAACCATCGATGACTTTGTTGACTTGTGAACTGGGTTGGACAGAATGATGTCACTCTTTGGTTTTTTTTTTTCCACTTTTGTCGATCGAGAATTCCACCCACAAAAGTCATCATAAGTATTTTGCTTCGAATTAGCTTTTAAATACTTAAATAAACAACTGAGAAAAAAATAGTGAGAAAATCACTTCGAATTTCGTAATTATAATTGACGAGTTACAAATATGAACCTATATCACCACATGTATTGGGTTAACTTTCTCTAACCAGAGACGGAGGAAAACGCAGCCCTTTGTTATTATTCAAAGTCCAAATGGTCAACGGATGAATTCCAAGATTAAGCAAAAAAATAAAAAGTTAAAATCAGTTAAAATAGATATTAGTGAAAAGAAAAACGTCCTTACCAAAAAAAAAAAGAAAAGAAAAACGAAAAATGCTCCCAATTTCGTGGTGATTCTATTTATTAAGGACGTATCTTTCTTTAACCAATTTTTTTAGTTGATAGGTTACAAATATGGATATAAATAACTGTTAGGTGTACTTATTTCATTGAAAACTAAATGATAAAAGAAAACATTTCCTATGGAGATCATATTAAAGAAAAATGATTAGTTTTCATTTGTTTTGTGGTTTAGAGAAAGTGATTTCCTTTTTATTAGAAGGGGAAGTTATTTTCCCCCGACCTATGTTTGTTGTTTTTAGTCAAATGGAAAATATTTTCCGTAAAATGATTAGTATCCTGTCATCGAAGCACCAGAAAGTCGAAAAAGAAAATTCGAAAACAGTTTTCTTTCAAACAAATAGACCCTTAATTTCAATATTAGCAATATTTTCATTAGTCCGCTTGTGTCAAGGTAACGTGCTTGCCCCATTTGAGATCTCCCCGATCTAACGATGAATTCACATGAATCGACTTCATGTAATTACAAGTTTTTTTACAATTAGGTTTTGCACTTCTTGGGTTCATCAGTGGCCCTAGCTTTCAATATTTTCGAATATATATATATCAATTGTTCTGTCCGTTCGATTAAGCTGATCCTACTTTTTCTAGAATCTGAATTACATATTTCATCAAGTTTGAGTAAAACCATATAACAATTTTGAAAGGTTTTGAGTATTTTCTGTTCAATAAAAGTAAAATTGAGTGAGCACAAAATTAAAAAGCAATTCCGAAAAACCGCACATGCTTGAACAAAAGTCAATGGGAAACGTTTCAGAAAAGTCGAGATGCGACAAAAAGAACACGCAACGTTGCCAGAGCAAAAGTCAAAACAGTAGTCGGATGGAGATATTCGAAGGTGCAATGGATTGGGTAATTTGTTTTGCTCCGCACGCTGTTTCGATTAATATTATCTCGATCAATTCTTCACCGTTGATGTTTGTGAATAAATATGCATCGACGATTGAGATAGATCGAGACGTTTATGGAAGTACATCGCGTGACGGAGAATCCGCATCGCAAAAGGATGGGGCCTGCTTATCTTCGCTTGCTGTGGGAGGGATGTATGGACCACGGAGGTAGGTAGAAGCAATGGATGGCATGATGCCAAGACAATCATACGAAGAAATTCGCTTATGTATTTTCAAAGCATGTGATATTGGCGGTTCAACAATCATCGAATTATATGAGATCTCACGTGAAATGCACATGAATTTGCCGTGTAAAGATACACGAAAGTTATGAGACGATGGTCCTAGACAAAACAGTAGTCTAATATTCAAGTACGCCAATGTTTTTCCTCACCTGTAAATTGACATTTGGCCTAAAATTAGAGTGTGAAAACTATAAAATTAAAAAAAAAAAGTGAAGAGACTAATCGAGGGAGCTAGAGAGAATTGAACACAGACATCCTACATATCATGTAGAGTTAGTGAGATTATGGTCAACTGATTTAATTAAAGCAAGTTTAAACGATCATATGAATGCATGATTTTTAAATGCTTTAACAGGATGTTATTCATTTAAGCCAAGTCGAATCGTACTCAAACTTGACTCGACACAAACGCTCAGAGTTTGATACTCGATTTGAACTTGCTGTAACTTGATATTTCAAAAGCTTTTAGCTTGATGACGAAGTTCATTACACTTGAAGCTTAAGTTAAGCTTCAAGAGCTCAAGCTCGGTTTTAACTTTTGCAAGTATAAATCATACTTGTTTTTTGTAATGGTAGTACAACAAAGCTAGTAAAAAAAACCTAGGCTGATCAGGCAATGGACCATCGAAAGCGATTTGAAATTTAACTGACACTCAATCGATGCAGCGGAGCTATCATGGGACGCGCCAAGAGTGATCAAAATTTCCCGATATCCGATACTGCTCCAAGCTATAAAAGCTAGCCTGAACAAGCAATGTACAATCGAATGCAAATGCTGTGCACGGGAAGGCTCTTCCATGGCCTTCTTCATGGCTAAAGAATAGAAGCAAGAAGTATCAAACCAGCTCAACCTGTAAATTCTCCATTCATGATAACAGTTTTGGGTCCTTCAGGAAGGAGATGGACGCTCTCGTTCAGCAAAAGGGATGATACTTTAACTAAACTTGTGAAAACCAAAATCTGCTGTAAAAGACATTCAAACCAAAAGCGACCAATAAACTGGGAACACTTCCATCGAGGACACTCGATATGCCTATGAAGCCAGTTCAACAAGGGACTAGCATGAATATTATTCTGCCGCATTTTTTTCTCATAATTCCCCATCGGGGTTACGTGAATTAATCGATACAGTCCATGTGGTAAGACCAATAAGAAAAGGAAATTCTTTTTCGTGATAACTTAACGAGTAATAACTGAATGAAACTATCAAAAGGTAGGACGAGAAGTTTTCAGATGGGGGAAAAGACAGTAGCTAAACCTTGGTCCACAGTGATTAAAAGCCTATCGTATGCCATCATTGCTTTGTGCTTGGACTTAAATGTTCCATTCCCTTTAGCCAGAACTTCGCCATCCGTATCTATGATGCCTTCCTTGGTTGGGTCGTCAATCCGCGGACCGGGTTCCAAGACAAATGCTTTTACCTGCAGCATAGGATGAACAAATATCCTTGCTTACGTATTCTGCCACCGTTTCACAGTATGAGACACAGTTACTTAGAGTAATTGTACAGAACTCGAGCCTTGACAATAGATAAAGAGAAAAGCGCAGGAGGAATCAATTCATGGGAGTTTCTAATTCTTCAGAAGAATAGCATACCTTGATATAAATAACATGAGGTGATTTGACATGACCTCCATTATTTAGCTCAGTCATCAGTGATAGCAAAGACAACCTCGGGCAATCCCGGATAGCAATTAAGTCCAAGCAGCCATCAGATAACTGTGGCAGTCCAAAGAATAGGATTGTCATTTTTTGTCCTCAATCATATGAATCTTAAAAGAAGATTTGATAAATAAAAAACCAGTGAGAAGCTAAGTTATTTATGACCGACTCGAACATACCATAAATCATGCACGTTCAACTTACATCTCGACTGTCTTATAAAGTATCTACACGTCTAGAAAAACATAAGATGCACTTTAAAGTTTAAACTGATCCCATGCATTCCAGATCGAAGATATACCTTCTATTGACACATGAAGTGGATTGTAAAAATGAACTTGGGTCATCTAGAACAGTATGCGAGATATGAACTACTCAATGTGAGACGTGGTATCATGTTCATTGAACTTCCTGCATACATGTTCCGTGTTTTACTTTTAATAGTGTTGAATATTATCATCCATATATACACAAGAAAGGAGCTCCTTCTTTGACAATGCAAATAAAAGCTAGACCATTTGTACAGTAACGTCAGCATGTTTTGCTCAAGCAGTGAGACCAATCAATCTTCAATTTGGTGCTGTAATAGGCATGTGTGCACACTTGAATGGTTTCCCCTCTACCTTAACTGTGCTTTCTTTATGCTATGCTCATAATATGTGATGATGCAGCTCTTATGCAAAAGAACTTGTGAAGATGTACACTTTGCACACTGATTGGGAGTTTAATTTGTATTCCTAAGGAAGCTAATAAGAAGTTTTAAATCCCAACCTTCGCATCAGGTGCTGCCATAGTGTCTTCAGCTCCCCAAGGAACATTATGCAGCCAGATAGAAACAAATGGGCCATCAATACTTCTCCAGCTTAATTCCTCCAACTTAACGTCAGGTCCTTGGTAACCTTGTCCTTCAACCTTAGCTGAGCTTCCTTCACTTTTCTTAAAGACAATGTCCTTCCCAGCAAAGTTGCCACTATAACTAGTAGGCTCCCCATGAGTTTCATATCCAGGAGCAGGCACAAAGGAAATGCGCCCGCTATATCTTCTCAGATGAAGTATACGTTGAAGTGCCTACACAAAAATCCATCAATATCAAATACTCCAGCGCTCGATGTTACAAGAAGAACCATGCTGATTTAATGGTGGCAAGGATTTAAATCAGGGAAAAACCTAATAAACTTGGGAAAATATATTGGACATTTATGCTTGAGATATATAACACGAGTAAGTAATAATTGGTAGCTTTATCTCCCATTAAGTTCTCTAGCAACAAAACATGTAGACCAGAGGATTCAGGGATAGCAGGTATTGACTACCAACAATATTGCAGGCCCATTTTATCATCTGTAATTGTAAATCTTTGAAGAGCATATAATAAAAGCTCAGAATAATGGAATTGAAGAACTCTGCATCGGATGTGCTACTGAGGGAAAGTGTTTCACTAGAAAGTACTACATGCAATCACTGCATCTAACTTCATGCACAAAAGTCCTCTATTATCTTTTTTATTTTGCCAGTTAAAAAGTCCTCTATGATCGAGTAGCATAGCAAGTTAAACATGAGCTATGAGCTACGGGACTGAAGTTCAATCTGGAGGGAGAGAGAGAGAGAGAGAATGGGCCAAAACTTACATAAAAATCCATACGAGCACTTCCCATCCATCTATACTTCTCAGATTCAATATCAATGTCTGCAACAAGACCTGAAATGAAAGAAATGCATTCATAAAAAGATCATAAGCCGCCGATATAATGTCCCTTCTGCCTCTTTTATTCCAAAAATGATGAGCTCAATAACAGGGGCCACAATGCATGCTAGTCCAACAATAAAACTTTTCACAGCGCCGACATAATCAAGAAGTCAAAGCTCTTTTGGAGGCGAGAGTGAATGGAGCTTAAGACAGCTCTAGATTACATCCTGTTATTCATTGTCAGGACTGAGTATTTGCATTATGAAAAAATACTTAAGAGAGAAAAGGGCAAAAAATTGTACGAAAGATAGATAACCTAAACCTAGTACATGATCACATGAATTCGGCATACCCCAGGCAAGCATCAAAACACTGAAAAATTTGGCATCCCCTTGCTTGATGGTGGCCACGTCCAATGATTTCTTGTGTCCTATGAATAATCAAACCACAAATACCATTAAAAGAAAGATCAACTAGTTTAGATCGAGAAAAATAAAAAATAAAAGAAACAAAAACATCAGGGAGTGAAGAATCAAGCAAGGCTACAATGCTGAAATGCAAAGATAACAAAAACATAAAACCCAACCTCTAATAATGGCAAGAGTAGCGTAAGATGCTGTACATGGTTCACCAACAGAATCCAAAAGAGACTTTACCATGCCATTTCCAGTACCTGTGTAGAGCCACATGTTGGATGCAGGACCAACACATCCAAGATCCATGTCAAACAAAAGAAAGGGTAGAAATCCTGGTTTTTGTTAGTGCAAACAGTGCCCTCAAAGATGTTACTGATTAAACATGAAACCCACCATCGAAAGTCTCTTGAAACAGAAAGAGTGCTATTTTTACTTAAGCATAAACTGTACTATCCATCTAGGAATGATGCTATGAAACCCTAATCCTTTCTTCAATTACTATACTTGACAATATAGGAAAAGAACAAACCTGCAGGAACCATTCCAATTGGAACTTTCATTGCAGCCTCCCAGTCCTCTCTTTCAAGCAATCCATTTACTACCTACTAAAAGTTTGAGAACTTTGTTACTGAAGAAAATAATAGGACAAACACCTAAGAACAATCCACAATATTGTTAACTACCATGTAAGACACATAATAATAAAATCATTGTGGCGCCTAAACAGGTTAAAGGCTGTGAACTACCTTCAAAGAAAAGTTGATAAATTGCATCCATTTCATACAAGGTCTCCGACCATACCAAGAGTTTATTATGACATCTAGTATCTGCACCTAGTTAACTAACCTCAACTAAGATTCCATCTCCGCTTACACAGACAATACCATCATACTTTGATAGATCCAGAGAACGAGCGACTTCCTTTGCATGCAACTGGTATTGAGTCTCTGAAATTGCAGTGAAAAACTTTGCATGAGCAGTCAGTTAATATGAAGCATAGCTGTAAGAACAGTATTCATTTGCATCAATGACCTCAAACCTTTTATGTCAAATTGAATTCCCGCATCCTCAAGAAGAGGTTTTACAACATTGGCCAAAGTCTTGGGAGCCAATTTCTTTCCTCCAAAAGGATTTAGTAGTATTAACAACTTCTTTGGACGGTCTGTCAAAAAGAACAGAGGTGAATAAAAGCAACTAAAGAAAAACTAGCGCCATTCTGAAACAGAGTGCATCTTAAAGGACACTAGCATTATACCCCCTCACACCACACTGCTCCTCATTGATTGCCTAAAGCCAAAACTTTTTCGAGCAACACAGAGTAAAAGCTACTGTTGCACACTCCAACTTCTTCCTCAAACCACTTCTGTCCATCGGGCATGCACGGAACTGCAAACTTAATGCCCTCTTGTAGTTTGTACCAATAAGCCATATAATGGGGCGTCTTAATGCACTTCCTTCGATGATCAACGAAGTACCATGTTGGCCAAGAACAGAAAACCACAAAAGTAAACGACATTTGCAAAATTAGACAACCTAAGACATCCATTTGCAACTCCAAGTCAGCCTACCATAACACTCCAACAAGCTCTCTCAACAAGACTCGGATATATTCCAAATTGAATAAGGACACCGACGGGCCGCGTAACTTAAACGCAACGGCGCAATCAGATCGCATCGCATCGCTGTATAATCCCTCCGGATTGAAGCAATTCAAATGAGGCAACGCGGTCAACTCGGCAACATCAGAGACACAATTCGCAGGTTTCTACATCATTCCTACGTTCCCAACATCAAGCAAACATCGGCGAGTTACCTAGCGAATCCATGCAATCCCGGAGCTTCTCGCACCAGAGCTTCTTGGACTCCTCCGACAGCGGCTCGAACACGTAGTCCTTCCTCGCCAGGCCGCCCCTTCTCCCGGCGCAGCAGGCCCGGTCGCCGCCGTCGTCGACGACCGCCTTGATCCGTATCCTGGGGCCCTCCGCGTCGAATCCGAGCACCTCCTTCTCGACGCTCAGGCTCCGCTGGCGTCCGCCGGACCAGACCAGCCTCCCGTCGGCGGTCAGGGTCACCGGAACCACGGTGCCGTCGATGAGGACCCGGTCGGAGATCGCCGGGGGAGGCGGCGGCTGGCTAGTTTCGGGCCGGTCCATTTGCGGGTCGTTATTGGCGGACTTTCCCCGAACGGTGGATTATATTTCGGGTCTTGGGAGAGGAAATGGGATTCGCGTTGACTTTTGAACTACTCGGACGGGTTGTTGACACCTGTCACCGTCCAGGTTGGTGGTTTGTTGAGGTAAAGCTGCCAAAATGATTCATAAATTAATTTTTTAATTCGTATACCGATAAATGAGTCATAAATTAATTAATTATATTCTAAATGGGTATAAAGATAATATGGGTGTTAAATGGGTTATGGATGGATTGTAAATGGGTTTACGACATATTTAAACTCAACTCATCTCTCTCGTCCGCATTCTCATCTCATTTTAGATACGAGTTTTCTTAGATTGATATTGAAATGTTTTAACAATATGGGTCGGGTCAGGTATGGGTCATTAGATTTGTATTACATGTAAATGGGTCAAAGACTCAAAACGGATTAAATGAATCTATCTGGATCGGACCATTTTCGACCTAACCGAATTATTCATTTTTAGCAAAACATACGCACTCTAATATTATCCCAAATTTGAATTGACTCTGTATTTGTATTGAGCTCGATTTTGCTTGATTCTTGAGGTCACAATCCATCAGTTTGGAAAAAAAATTTGAAAATTTGACTCATCAGATGAAAAATATTGCGGATCGAAAATCTTCAAAACACAATAGGCCAAAGAGATAGCTAAGATGACCAAGGGTTGCCTTAAAGGGACTCTACAATGTTTTTAATGATATTATGGAAATTATATAATTGTATTATAGAGCATTTTTGTATTTAATGTAGGTAGTTGGTAGTTAGAGAAATTTGGAGTGCATTTGTTTCACGGAAAATGTAACGTTTTTGGAAAATGTTTTTCGGAAAATCATTTTCCAAAAAAATAGTTAATTTTCCTTTATTTGGTGATATGTGATCGAAAACATTTTTTAGTGTTTGGATCTCGTTTGGAAAATGATTTCAATCTCATGATTTTATCTCAGGCAAAAAAAAAATTTCGAATTTTTAAATATTTTCATTTTTAAAAATAAAAATGAAAAAGAAAATGTTTTCCTAATTTTTATTTCAATCCCTTCTTAGATTAGGGAATTCACTTTCCTAATTTTATACATGTATGTTTTCCTTGACTGGAAAATGTTTTCGGTTGACTAATCATTTTTGGTAAACAAAACGGGTGAAAGTTCGGAAAAGGAATTTTCGGAAAATATTTTCCCCGAAACAAACGCACCTTTGATCTCTATCGTCAAATAAGGGGACATCTACGATTGTAATTTTAGGGAATAAAACACTAATGATCCTATTTTGTCATAAATCAAACGATAAAGGCCACTCTCTCTTATTGATGTAATTGAAAACTTTTATTGCCTGATTCAAGTAAAAGAGAAATTTATGAGAGAGTAGCTTTTTTTAAGGAGAGTCAAGCAACTGAACGGATAATATATTTTGTTATTATTATTGCACTACATTTGTACTTTGAGGATAATTTTTGTTGTTGATGGTTTTATAAAATTCCAATGCATTTAGAATTGACAAAAAATGTGTTTGCAAATGTTTTAAATGGGTTGTCTTATAACGCAATTACAATTGCTATAATTTCTTGTCAACGGCTAATTACATCATATAATCAAGGAAAATATAATATTTTATGCAATAATGTTTCGAGGAGCATTTTCTTTTGCATTTGCATATTAATATGGATGTTTAAGAATTTTATTATCTACTTAACTTTGTCGTATTTTTAATTTTTTTAAGGCATCCTTTAAAAAATCATGCAATGCTGGCATTTAAAAAATTTGGACCAAGAGATTCACCGAATAAAGTGAAAGTTGAGCAATTAAAATACACAAATTACAACATAATGACACATATTTAAGTTATAAAAATGAAATGCACACTAAAACTAGTAGATGGTTCTCTTCGCTCTTACTTGTGCTTAGATTATTTTTTAAATAATAGTTTTTCAGTGCAAAAAAAGAAAAATACACAACTCATTAACACGATAGTTAATTAGCTATTTATGAAAGGAAAAGATGGACACCAATTTTGTTCCAAATAAAGAAAAAAAAAAGGAAAAAGCTCAAAAAGAAAAGAAGACAAGAAATAATCTTAAATCAAGAGTGAGCTCCACATTTATCCTTATTAAACCGCTTTCTCAATTTTTTGTGAGAGATTTTGGAAGATGCAGTAGCATTTCGAAATTAGTTCAATGTAGGTTTAGAGATGCTTTGAACATTTCTGGAATATAAATACAATTTTTTTTTTTCTTTTCAACTTTGCTCTCTTTCGACTTTTGTAATTTGGGAAATGTTCCCACCTCACATGATGTTGCTGGCAAGCAAGTTTGGTGCCGGCCAACCTCACCCGAGGTCACGGGAATTGAAGCGACGGTCGCCCGGGTTGCGTGACCTAAACTATGCTTGAATTGGAGAGCTAATAACGGGTGGAATTAGCTCGAGCCCAAAAAAAGTAAAAAAAAAAAGACAAAAATGAAAGGGGGAAATTAACTCGGTTCGAACCGGATCGGTTCAGTCCACGGCGATGTCTCTGCAGCTTTCCGAAGTCTGCACCAAGCACGGAAACTAGCGACCAACTTCCCGAACTTTAGTTTCGACGGCTTCCAAATCCTCTCTGCAACAACAGCTATCGTCTTCTTCAACTCGAGATCGCCAGGTACGATGTTCGCTCCGAAACCTCAATCCCATTGTCTCCAATTTCCGTGGAACTCCGGCTGCTTTCGTGATTTCCGACGGTCGTCGTGGGGTAGTGGGCGCTCGATCGGCAGTGATCCGAGAAAGAAGAGGAGGCTGCAGCATTCGGATTGGACGATTGAGGGACTTCGTGAATTACCCATTTGGCCCGTTCATCAGCTGCTTCGTGTTTTCCTCGCGAAAAGCCGACGGAGAGAGAGATTGCAATTGGTGATGGCGGAGTGTCCTTTGCCGTTTTGTTGTGGGATCATCTCTTCTGGATTTCTAAGAGAGAATTTTAGATTGCGGGTTTCTCTCTCTCTCTCCATGTCTGTAGTTGCGCAATAATGTCTTCTGTGTTTTATCAGCTGACGTGCCTGTGGATTGAAAGACTTGTACTGTGGGTTTTGCTAACTGGGTTGTTTAGATTTTGGAATGAAATGTGTTCTGGCTCTCTCATGTCCCTTGCTGCAGGTCGAAAAGATAGTCGATAATTCGTCACAATGGCGACGACTGCTTGTTTTATCATCGTCAGCAGGAATGATATCCCTATATATGAAGCTGAAGTTGGATCTGCTGTTAAAGTATGTTCTTCTTAAGACTATGGTGTGGGTCTTTGTTTTCGTTTCACCTCTTATTTTGCTGCTAATTGTGATGACAGTTTAGACTATGATATGATGTGGGTGCATATTTGTCTGAACTTCTGGTTGATTAATAGCAAACAACTAATGTGTTACAGCATACTCAGTAACTCGTCTTAATGTCGCATGATCGGCATGACAGTTTCATGCTATCAGTTGGCAAGGGAAGAAGTTTACTTTTTTCTTATAATCCGGGACAATTCGAGTTCAGCCTGGCCAAATGGATATTGTTTTTGAGTTCCTGTTTATGTGTTTTCTTTTCTGTAATTTGTTTATAAATTAGTTGTTTGTTAGACACAATAAAATTCTTTTTCCCCGATCAGAGAGAAGATGCGGCACATTTGCATCAGTTCATCCTGCATGCAGCTCAAGATATTGTTCAGGACCTCGCATGGACAACTAGTGCCATGTGAGTTTATTTTCTTTAAACAGTTGCGCTACGTTATCTCTTCATTGCCATGAGCTTCAATTTCTGCTCCATTAGATCCCTTTTGCAATTATGCGCTAGAAGTTTCGCTAAAAATTGGTTTTCATGCATCATGCAGGTTTCTGAAAGCAATAGACAGATTTAATGATCTTGTGGTTTCGGTGTACGTCACAGCTGGTCATATCCTTTGATAACAGCTATATATTTTCTTATCTGCCATTAATTCTGCTACTGCTGGCAGTTTGTTCTCCCTTCCCACCCAAAAGAGAAAGATTCTGCTACTAAAGCAGACTAAATTTACGCAGCTTTAAACTCCTCAATTGACTCCTCATTCTTTTGTCTCGACTCACGATATTTCTCTTGGTCATTCTGTTGCATTACTGACTGTATATGAATTCCCTTGACTCCTGTATCTTACATACACGATTTATGCTACTTCATGACTCACGTAACGATGATGGAATCAAGAGCTTTTTCCAAGAGGTTCATGAGCTTTATATCAAGGTAATAAGCTGTTCTTTTTTCCACTGAACTTTTTCCTTATGTTGATAGTTTCTAGTTATTTTGCATTTTCATTACTCATAGATTATCAAGGAATTTTCTTTCCTGTGTTTGGATTGTTGCAGTTTGATGTTAATTTCTATGGCTCATTTCTTTTTGAGTTCATTACTACTGCTGACAGTGTTTCTGGGAAGAGGAGACCGACATTTCTCTAAATCCTTTTGTCATAGTTTATTAAATGCTCAAATAGTTAGATAATTGAACCTGGGTTCTCAGTATTTCTGAATTATACATAAGGGTGTATTGACAAGTTGTTGGAGTTTGTAGAACCATAACTACTTCAAACTTTTGACGCCTTACTTGCACTCTTTCATCACCAGTAATATTCTTACTAAACCAAGTCCTTGAACTTTACTTTGTGGTCCATTTGAGTACCCATGGTTTTATAATATATAGGGGCCGTCCTTGAGTCTTTGACTGTCAATGGCCTTCCAATAGGCAATAACAACTACTGTCGACTCCTTTTGATTCATGTCAACACTCATACTATGGAACTTAACATTATATGGGATGAATCAGTTCAAATATGCATGCCCATGATTTCTTTTCACTTTCCTCACTTCATACTCTCATAGCCAATATTTGGCTCCTTGGTTAGTTACATATCCATATTTTCCCCCTTTTGCTGTTTTTTCTTCTTTCTTCTACACTGCATCTTGTACTGGCCTGGTAATTTTGCTCACAATGGTGACCTGTGAAGCATCTAAGTGTACTAAATCAAGGTTCTGACAACTCGTGCTTCCATGAGAACTTCTGAGGTAAAGCCCATATAGACTTGAGATTCACTCAATTATCCCATTGGCTGCTTCTCGCAGCTTGGTTGCCCTTAACCCATGATTATATATCATACCTTTGAGGTTTTATATTAAGCGACACAATTCCCTCTACTAATTGAAGGTCTGCAAGGATTCAAGATTCTGTGTGAGGGTTGATTGATGGAGAGGCCAATTGATGATATGACGTTAGTTTGGATATATTACCTTTTCACATAATGTTTTAGTCTTTCAAATTGTATTTGGTGCAATTGGGTGTTTGAAGACTTTATTGGTGTTCAGATGTGCGATATCCCTCTCTTTAAGACTGGCATGTGAAATTTCTATCTTAAAAAAGAGATTGCATTTGAATATCTTCCCTAAAAGATGATGAAAATTATTCCCGCAATCCACTAAAGATTTCAGTTTTATACGGCATCACTTTTACGGGTGGTCAGTTAGTGCGCTAATGGGGTAGAAATGATCTTAATACGCCAAAGTTACTGGACTCACAAGACTGCATTAGTAGCAATTTTTGCTATTTGATAGTTTGATTCAATTGAACAACCAAACTAATACAGGGTCTTGTTTGCATTTGTCCATTCTCTTTTTATTAGTATCGAATGTCACGATTGCATGCTCAGTTTTTCTGTGGTCACAAATTTGAAAAGGAGATCTTGATGTTACTGCCATCATCGCTGTGATGAATGGGTGAATCTGTGAGTTATTTTTCACTTCTCATTATCTGTATTCCTGATTTTGCAGATAATTCTGAACCCGCTCTATTTGCCTGGTTCCCGCATCACATCTTCACATTTCGATACAAAGGTCCGTGCTCTTGCAAGAAAATACTTATAAAAGCCACTTTCTGGGAACAAATCACTCATGGGACAGTGATGAGAATGCAAGATTTGACCACTAAGGACTAGTGGACACTCATAGGCTGTCATCAATTTCGCGCTTGCTAATTTCCTGTTAGGATGTGAGCGTGTTGCAGATATATGCTCGTGTTGTTGCTGCAGAATTAAAGCACTCGATATCTCATTTTGCTGATGGTAATATCATGGTTGGCCTGATTATCAGCAACGTGACCTGCTATTTCCTTTTCCTTCTTTTTCTTTCATTTGTTAGAAGACCACCCTGCCTTTTGTTCAAGGAAGAGAATGTGCTTTATATTTCTTATTGCTGATAACCTGCTATTTGTAAATTGGATAATCTGCGAATCGTAAATTGGACAGCTTGTAGGAAAAATGCATTGGGCGGCAATGATGGAATTTAGTGTAGTTTCCAATGGAAGCTTCCCTTTTGCTTTAGTTTCTTCCGTGCATGCACTTGTGCTAATCAGGACACATTAGATGTTACCAGCTTTTGGTGCACACGTGATTTGCTATGTTGTAGCCATGGTTATGACAAGCATTTGGAGCTCATGTGATTTTGGTAGTGTCATAATTAGAAAGTTCTTTCTAGCGAAATCGACTTGCAACACTAGCTTGTTCAATAGTTGAATAAAAGGCAAGAAATACTCAAGGGACCTATACACATTCGTGACGGGCTATATTGCATCAGTCCTCTCGTTGCAAGTCTATTTCTTCCTCTGGGCTTTGATGTGAGATGTAAGAGCCAATCGTCAGGTTGATGACTCTGTTTAAAAGAACCCAATCTCTTTCTTCTATATTCGGTATGTTCCATCATTGTGCTCTTGTTGTTGTCTATATCTGAGCCACCTTCTTAACTCAAATAGGACTTTTTGATCCGATTTCAAAAGGAAAAGGACTATTCGATAGGAACAATTGATGAACTGTACAGAAAGATGAATTCAAATTGAATGGGCCCCTTACCGAGCAGAACTTATAGCCGTGCAAACGCCTTTTTACAGAACTAGCTAAGAGAACTTGCAAATCACAATCGTCGCGGAATGTCCGGGACAGTACATTCGTTACCGGTTGATGCCCGGGAAGATTGGAACAAAACTAATGTTCTCTGATGAACCTAGAAAACAAGATGGGGTGATGATGATTCCAACTCACTTTAAGTAAGAGAGAAAGAAATTAGGAGGGACAAAAAACAAAAGGAGGGAGAATGGGGTGAGAGAGGCTCGAACTCTCGACCTCAGGATAACTCAGAAGCTATGAGACCTACGCGCTAGCCAACTGCGCCACCACCCCATTTGTGCCATTTTTAATCATATAAAATTTATATTAAATATTTTGAAGCATACATTTACTCTTTTTTTTTTTGGGGCCAGTATAATTAAACAGCGAAATGTTTGATCTGTTTCTCCTTGATTGATGAAGTTAGGTTACATTTGATAATCTGGATTTAGATTGGGATGAGATAGGATAAGGTAGGGGATTAGAAAATCTCGCCATATGTTTGGTGCAATTTAAAATAGGATTGAAAATCTTTAAAATTTTCGAAGATCCCGCTTGCCCAACACATTGTCTGACGTGATCTCTACATGTTCCCCTTAAGCTCCCTCATTAGCCTGCTCTTCAAATCAGCGGTATTTGTCCTCATGTGGTGGTTAGCGAAGCAATATCCAACTGCATTATTCCACCACTCCATCCTTTAAAGATAATAAGGTTCGTTAAATTATCCTATTCTAACTCAAATCCGAACTACCAAACTCAGCCTTAAATCCCTTTCAAATTTTTCGTGAAAATAAAAGATGAAAATGAAAAGTTGAGTCGATTTGGGTAGGTATACAAAGTGTTGAAGTTTTTTTAGTTAATAACTCTTGGGGGTAACTAAGAGTGTCACTAGTGAGGGATGCATATCCGTTCACATAATCCCTCCTAATTCTAAGTATGAAATGCCTACTCAATTCATAGGCAGGTGGCCTCGTGACTTGTTAAAGATTAGGAACTAAGAGTGTCACTAGTGAGCGACACGTGTCCGGTCACATAATCACTCCTAATTCTAAGTACGAAATGCCTGCTCCATTCATAGACAAGTGGCCTCGCGACGTGTTAAAAATCGGGAAGTTTCCTCATATAAGGCCATAAACATCCAAAACAAAAGCTGGCCAAACCTTATCTACCACATTGACTCGAATTTGTGATCTCATAAAAGATCGTACGACCCTTTTGCTATTAGATTGCTCTGGTCGGCGGTGACTCATCCTCCTGCTAATGATTTCGCTCTAGGCCAGATTTTCTTTTTCGTATCGATAAATACTTCCTATGTATCCGGAAAAATTTTAATATAATTACTACTAGAACAAAATCATGCTTTTCTTCTCCTTTTTTTTTTGTTTTCTTTACTTTTATCATGTGTCCCTTTTTTGTCGCACATTCTTTCATCTGCTGCAATTGCTGGAGAGCGGGGGAATTCAAGTCAAAGATGACAAATGACAAAACGACAAAAGGGAAAAGGTCAAAGCCATCATGATTGCGGGCGCCGAATCGAACGGCTGCCACACCATCGGCGCACGGGTAGTCGTTACTCCTCCGCCTCACGCAATCGCGAACGGCTTCCTAGATCCATTCCTCACGTGGATAATTCCTCCTCTTTTAATATATATTTTTTTCTCCTCTTTTAAAATTCAAATGCCCTTATCTTCACCCCAAAAAAAAAAAGAAAAAGAAGAAAAAAACCGACGGCCCAGATTAACTCGATCCTCTGTACCGACGGATCTCGTGCAATGACGATCGTCCAAGTTCGCACGTGGAGACTAGCGTAGGTTTCAGAGTCTTTTTAAGTCGTCTCTGGACATTCATTATGGATAAAAGCCGCATGTTTAATTATAAATCCCATAATTATTAATATTTACCTATTTTTTTTCCTAATTAAGGTTGATATCACAAAAAATCATAAATTAGTCTACTGGAACACAAATACTCGAAACTTTTTTTTGTGTCATAAAAAAATACTGAACTTATACCGGAGTGTCAAAGGATGGAATCGAAATAAAGGGTATATATGTCACGTAAGTATAAATTCGAATTTTTTTGCGACACAAAAAAGTATGGGATATTTATGTTACAGTTGGCAAGTCTAGAGTTTTTCGTGACACAAAAAAATTGGGGTATTTATTTCATTGTAGGCATAGTTGAGGTTTTTTCCGGTATTTTATTTTGTATTGATCCATTCAATCAATTTAGCCTGAGACTTTGCCACTATCTCGTGCATCACGGAGAATCATCACGGGGATTCAAAGTCTTCACAAAAACCGGCTGTCTGAGACATCGTTGGAGTCCGTTTGCAACGAGACAGGGACGATCGCGCGTGACTTGGTGGGATCGATCGGGTGCTTTAAACACGCAAGCCTACGATGCCCTTGCCCTCCTAGATCACTCACGATGTGCGAAATGTTTCGTCTTTTTCTGAAAGGAGATAAGAAAGATCAAGGACGATTGATACGTAACGATTGATTTGGATGGATAGAAACGATGCGTCTTTAGAAAGTTTTAGGAAAACCGCATAGGCCACTAGAACCTTATCTATCCTAAAGTGAGATGTCTCATACTATCTGTGGTTGCAAGGACATAATGTCCGATGTGATTGACTTGCTTTTTTGTCGATCCAAAATAGGAACTTGATATATAAAAATTGATAGGATATCACTTGAAGATGTACCAATCTTCCTATAAATTGGATAACTCCCATTGATTTTTCATGTAGGGTCATGTCACCTCATTCAAAGTCGAGGACAACAAGATGATGATGATACGAGAGGCAGTGAGGCATGTATTATATTTAAACTTTTGCTTATATCTCTCCTTAAAAATTTAGGCAAAAAAAACAATCCTATAAAGTTATGGAGATTCTTTTGTGTCTATATTCATACATGAATTTAATTAATTCTAAGGTCAGTGTAAAGAACTTTTTTACGCATCCATCATTGGCCGAGTACATATGCATTTCGAGATAACTGTTTAACCAAACTTATCCACACGTCACTTATTCAAAGGTGAATATGTAAAGATAATTCTACATCGAAAGTAATTATAACAATTGCCCGCATTTATTCAAAAGATTCTAGACATATTTCGCTTAAAATAAGTGTCAAAATGCGAGGAAAAAAAATTACCCAATCGATCCTAAACTTATTGTCAAGATGCTGATTTAGTCATAAACTTTTCGATCTTGCAAATTTGGTCCCAAGCCTTTGCTCCAAATTCTAACGTAATCATTCCGGCCAATTCTACGCGAAAAATCACCGACATGGTGGTCCGGTTATCGCCGACCGTCCAGCTAGTGGCTTCCGGCGGGAAATACTGCATGCCGCGAAGATTCAGGACCAGATTGGCAATTTTCCCGAAATGCGAATTCTATAAATTATGGGAAAATTTCAAATAAGGACCCGAAGTGCTCTCATTTTCTCAAATAAGGACCTGAAGTAAACCTTATGTCAAATAAGGACATGAAGTGCCATTATTTTCTCAAATAAAAGTATGAAGTGGACCTTGTCTCAAATAAGAGTATGAACTGGCCATCTCAATCTCAAAAAAGGGCTTAACCTCACTAGAGTTAAGGGCATTTTTTTCTTTTTTTTCTTTTTTTTTCCTTTTGTGTTTTATTCCATAAAAAACAAACTCAAAAAAAAATTAAATTTTAAAAAATATATATTTTAATTTGAATTAATTAAATTTGATGTTAAAATTAGTTTTGGATGAAAATGCCATTGATCGATCGGAAAATTTGGCTGGTCGGCGAGCCGGCGAGGTGAGGTCTTTATTCAAAACTGTTATAACCAGTTTATGCCCTTATTTGAGATTACGAGAGCACTTTAGCTCCTTATTTGATATAAAATTCACTTCAGGCTCTTATTTTTTCAAATAAGAGCACCGCGGATCTTTATTTGAAAATTTTTCCCATAAATTTATTTTCATGAAATATATATATTTTTTTTTTAAAAAAAGAAAAAGCCTATCACGAAAATTGAATCCAAAGGGGGGGCCGTCCGTACAGCACAAGGCCCCAAAAGGAAGGACAACATCCGAGGAGGCAGCAATCAAAATCCCCCGGTCGCTTTAAAACTCTCCCCGCAGGAGGAGGACAACACCACCGCTCCCACAGTGGCAAACCGCAGATACCAACAAAAACGCACTCCCTCTCCACGAAAATTCCCCGACCCCGACCCTTCCCCGAAATTTCCTCTTTTATTTTTCGTTTTCGCCCCCCCCCCCCCCCCTGATTTTCTCGCCCTTTCCCGCTCCCCTTTTCTTTAACTTTCTCGCCGCCCCTCCCGTCCTCGTTATTTTCCTTTTCCCCGCGAATCAGAATCCGCCGAGAAAACCTCTCTCTCTCTCTATCTACTGCTCTCAGACGTCACTCGCGGTGTCACTCGCGGTCGCCGTCACTCGCCGCTCCGCGGTCAAGCGCCTCGCGAGCTTCCCGGAAGCATCCGCCTCGGTTGCCGCGAAGGCGGGCGGAAGCCGCGCTGGACATCTTCGTCCCCCGGGGGGTCTTTCTTGGTGTGTGTGTGTGTGTGTGTGTGTTCTTGGTGTTTCGTTTGTCAGCGAAACGGTCGGTCGGTGGTGGAGGTTGAGGTGGTTGTTGTTGTTGTCGGGTTCGAGAGTGTCGTGGGTTCGCGGCGTTTTTCCTTCTTGTTCTCGGGGAAACGAGCGGCGGCGGCGGTTTTGGAGGAGGGAGATGCAGACGAGGTACATGGAGAGGACGAACAGCATGAGCAGCAGGGGGAAGCGGGGCCTGGACTCGAGCTCCGGCGAGGAAGGGCAGCCCGATCGGAAGCGGCCTGCTCTCGCGAGGTACGTCGATTTCTCTTTTTCTCGAGCTCTCGCGTGCTTCGGAGATGGATTGTGTGCGCAGGCGGTAGCGTGTTGGCGTTGGCGGGGTGGCGGTTTTTTTGGCCTTTTTTGGTTGAGCCGTCGCTTTTCGAGCGTCTGTAAAATCGTGGGGTTGGCTGGAGTTTGGCGTGCGAGCTGAGTCAGCTGCTGAGTGATGGTGGTTGACGGAGGGGCTTTGTTTATGCCGTTGGTTTTTGACCTGTTGATGTCAGCAAGAAGTACTTAGTGTGAATTCAGTTCTGGGTGCTTCGTTACTTTGAAGTAATCTGCTGTACCATTTGGCTTCGACAAAGTACGACGGGGTAAGGTCACTAAAGCGAGCATGCGCGCGTACATTTTCGCGAGGACAAACCGGTGACTTTATAGGAGGAAGATGAAGGGGTAGTTTTATAATTATGGCTGTACGAGTTGAGATAAATAGTTTTCCATGCCATTGTATCGGGTAACATGTAAATGGGACGAGACTTGGACTGGGAAATGCAGCGCTGCTAATTGTATATAGCGTGTAGTTTATCGGATAAATAACGAAATTTTTGCTGAAAACCCCTTTCGCATTGTCGGTTTTAAGTCACACAGGCTGCTAATGGATCCGGAATAAAGTTTTCACGATACTATTATTTTTTCTTTGCCTGCACCAAGTTTCAAAGTGGTCAAATGCTTGCAGAGGTTGAGTTCAGGGTTGATTTCAGGGTTGATTTCATGTTTACAAGCTGCAAAGCAACTTGAATTCTTGCTATTTTGTATGGAGGTGTTAGTGCCCTTGCTTTGGGTTACAGATTCTTAAAATGAGCTCCTCTTTTTCGCTGTGTCTGGCTTAAATTATCATTCTATTCCTGATATTATTAGCTTTTCCTTTTTGGAAAGGGTGTTCTGGCTTTTTTTCGTGGATTCCTGACTCCTTTTATCTGTTTTTCGTTTTCCCCTTTCTCTTTTTCTGGGATTAATTCCAAAAAAAAGCACCAACTTTAGGTCTAGGGACAATTCTGGCCCGAACTTTTTTTTGTCCCATAAAAAAGCACCAACTTTAGGTCAAGGGACAATTTTGGCCCGAACTTTTTTTTGTCCTGTAAAAAAGCACCAACTTTAGGTCGAGGGATAATTCCGGCCCCAACGTTTTTTTGTCTCATAAAAAAGCACTAACTTTGACTTAAATCCCAAATCTGACCTCCATTGACTTAGAATCATTGATTATCTAGCTTGACTATTACACATTAGTAATAAATCCATGTGACTTGCTAACTGGATTTAAAGCAATATTTATACTCTTATTCTCTAAGCTACAATTTGAAGAATAACGGTAAAACTGTTCATCTCCTTCACTTCACTGACAAGTCAAAAATATCTCTAGATTGAATCTCTCTGGCCAAACGTAATCTGAAACCGACCACTGTCTGTCGACAAACACCATGGACGAGATTCGCCAAGCTCATCACCATAACCTTCTTTCTCAAACAATGGTGAAAGTCAACATGGGGCAAGATTTGAGATCATGATGAAAGTTGGTGATTTTTAATGAGACAAAAAAAAATTGGGGCCGGAATTGTCACTCAACCTGAAGTTTGTGCTTTTTTACGGGACAAAAAAAAGTTCAGGCCAGAATTGTTCCTCGACCTAAAGTTGGTGCTTTTTTATGGAACAAAAAAAAGTTCGGGCCAGAATTGTCCCTCGACCTAAAGTTGGTGCTTTTTTTTGGAATTAGGCCTCTTTTTCTGTGTTTGGCTTAAACAATGCTTCTTTTTCACAAAAGCATCAACTTTGACATTTAGAGAAGGGTGTTATAACTTCTCCTTTTGGATTCTTGACTCTTTTCGTCTGTTTTCCTTTTTCTTATTTATACTAACTTGAATTCTACCATCTTCCGTAGATAGCACCTAATCTAGCTAAAAGTTTTGGGCACTGGATCTGTCTCTGTTATGTGTCCTTGCCTTCTTCAGGGAATCTATCTATAATTATGCATCTTTTGTGAAAATGGTTGCTACTTTGAGGTGTATAAATATGTTAATGTCCGTCTATATTGATACAGTGTCATTGTTGAAGCTCTCAAGGTGGATAGTTTGCAGAAACTTTGCTCATCATTGGAGCCCATACTTCGACGTGTGGTAAGATAAATTTGGCGGCCACATGCTTTTCATTTACAGTGTTTCCATGTTCTTTTCGCTTGGTTAATTAAGAGTAGTTGGATTGGTTGATGAAGAAACTAGAGAACAGTAGTTATCATGATTTGTGGGACTGATGATATTATGATTCTATATGTATCACTGTCTCCTTACATTGGCTTGAGAGCCTTAGGAGGTGAAGATCTCATGCATGGTTTAGTAAGGTGGCGGTGAGGGTGACCATGCATTAGCAATATCATCTTTGATGTTGCCGAACATCATATAGTGACTATGATAGTTTGGTTTACTCTTCAAATTTGGAACTGAGGAAATGGATCATGCTTTTAACTGCATGACAATGTAATGTCCCCCAGAATTGGTCATTAGGGGATTTGCTATGTTTGAAGTTTTTGATGAAGCTTAATAACTTGCTTTCTGAAATGTTGACCAGGTAAGTGAAGAAGTGGAGCGAGCTTTAGCAAAATTGGGCCCCTTCAAAATTACTGGGAGGTATGCTATTTTTTAGCTAAGTGGAACCATAGTGATATAATTTTTGTATTGACGTGACGCTGAATCTGGTCTGCTTGAGAAGGCACTCATTAGCTCTGTTGGGGCTTGTTTGACTTGCCTGAAGGTTTAGATGGAGACGTGTTCGTGCATTAAGTTCTTGCATGGTTTATTTATTTATATGGTTGACCTCACTTAGTGGGGATAAAGCTTAGCTGTTGTTGTTGTTTGTTTGTTTGTTTATTCGTACTTAACTATACAAGTTATTGCAAACAATTGTTTTTACGTCATTGTTGGAGAATTCCCAGGAATCTTATAATTGTTGTGAAAGGATCAGGTATAGTTCAAAAGTATTAAAGTAAATCTCTTAGTTGGGAAGATAGATCAATACCGGTGTAAATAATGAAAGGGGGTCAATGGTTCATGCTGTGGATCATGTTTTAGCAACTACCACAATTATGTAGGGACACGATACATTGTCTACTAACCAGCGAATTGAGGGTTGGTTGTTGTTTCTCTGATATGTCCAATATAATCCAATGTTTGTGCAGCTTTATGTTGGCCAATGTAGGCTTTGCCCCGTGTGTTTTAGTCTGTTCTCTTTCCCACTATCACACATTTGTGTGGATCTTTCCACCTAAATTTCATGGCGCATCTGTCTAAGGGTTGTGAGAATGTAGGTCTTCTCCTAAACGCATAGAAGGATCCGATGGAAGAAATTTGCAGCTACAATTCAGGACCAGGTTGTCGCTCCCGCTCTTTACTGGAGGCAAAGTAGAAGGCGAGCAAGGCGCTGCAATCCACGTTGTCTTAATTAATGCAGATACAGGCTGTGTTGTCACATCAGGTCCAGAGTCCTCTGTGAAGCTTGATGTTGTTGTTCTCGAAGGGGATTTCAACAATGAAGATGATGACACTTGGACTCAAGAAGAATTCGATAGTCATGTAGTGAAAGAACGTGAAGGGAAAAGGCCACTTCTAACTGGGGAACTGCAAGTGATACTGAATGATGGTGTAGGCACGCTAGGAGAGCTTACTTTTACTGACAACTCAAGCTGGATAAGGAGCAGGAAGTTTAGACTCGGTTTGAAGGTCTCACCAGGCTTTTGCGAGGCCATACGCATACGTGAAGCCAAAACAGATGCTTTCACTGTTAAGGATCACAGGGGAGAATGTAAGTTACGACAATCTTTCACATCCTATATAGTTCGGAGCTTCCTCGGACAAGTTCTCATTTTCTCTTCAATTTGCAGTGTACAAGAAACATTATCCACCTTCACTGCATGATGAAGTTTGGAGATTGGAGAAGATTGGAAAAGACGGCTCCTTTCATAAAAGGCTGAATAAGGCTGGGATATTTACAGTTGAAGACTTTCTCAGACTTGTGGTCAGAGACTCACAGAGACTGAGGAATGTAAGAATCAAAGAATAATGTGTTTAAACTTGAGATACTTTTTTTCTCACTTTGTTAAATGCTTCTTTTTGCCTTTTGTAGATTCTTGGCAGTGGCATGTCAAACAAAATGTGGGATGTTCTTGTAGACCATGCGAAGACATGTGTCTTAAGTGGGAAGCTTTACGTGTATTATCCGGATGATGCTAGGAATGTAGGAGTTGTTTTCAATAACATTTATCAATTCAGTGGCTTAATTGCAGATGGCCAATATATCTCTGCGGATTCTCTTTCAGACGATCAGAAGGTGATTATTCTTTCCTGTTGCTTCATTATAAAATGATCCTACATGCTGCAAAAACGTGTCATTTTGAAAGGAAGGACATTGGTGTGATGTGATTATTGCCTCGACATCTTTTGGTACCTTCAGGTCAAAAGATACCAGTTCCTTTGCTCAATGAACTGCCTTTTCTTGTTCCTGTATTTGAGATCTACCACATTCTGTTTTTGTGAATGATGTTTGTTACACAAGATGTAGAATACCTTTTTTTTGCATACCTTTCTTGTCTCAATTATACTACATTGCAAAAACTGAAATGGCTCGATTTTTGAAGGTCCATGTGGACACCTTGGTAAAGAAGGCATATGACAATTGGATGCATGTTATTGAGTATGATGGCAAATCTCTGGTCGATTTCAACAATGATAACACTGGTGCATCTTGCTCTGAATTTCCCATGGGTCAACAAGAGTATTCAAACATATATGATCACCAGCTTACTCCACCAAGCCTCTCAGTTCCGGTTTCCATGGACCAGCCTCCTGCAGATTCAGGTAATACTAACCTTTCCATATATAATGTCATTGTAATCATGATTTCCTGACCTGTTGATTCAGGAAACAGACAGTTTTGGAGATGGTTTTGTCAATTGCTGTTTTTTCAACAGTAAAATGTCTGGAGTCTTGTCAAATCTGTACGATCTAATAGTGCGCTCCTCTTGGCAGAAACTTTATTAGTCCTACATGAAAGTTGTAGGCTTCAAGGGATAAAAGGAGAAAGTAATTTCTTTTCCTTTTTAAAAACTCCATAGGGTTAATGACATTTTACTCCTATGCTTTCATGGCTGTCTTAGTCAACACCCTCATAATCTATATTGTCTCAGTTAACTCTCCATAATTTATCTTTTAATTTAATTTGGTCCTAAATCTGAAGTTAGGCTTCTGACTAGACTGATACTAATGCACGTGACACCGGGATCATGAAATCTGACCATTTAGTTGTTGTAAAATAGTCGGTACAAGTTCCTTTCCGTTCAATAAAAGTTGCAAAGTGATTAAAATGTCTCTTCCGTTTGTCTAATTGGAAAAGACACGCGACTTCCGAATGCCATAAAGCAAGAGACCTTGCTAACTATTAGCCGTACAACGGCTTGAATTTGCTCATGCGATGCCACGTTCTTTAGATGCTGCTGTGCCAAATATAAGAACTAATCTTTTGGGCTGAACTAAGACTAAATCAAACTATAGGGGGCTGATGGATGGTTTCTAATGTTTTCTGTGTATTATCCATGCTAGATTTAACCAATGGCCCTCCTACCTCCTCTATCTCAATAGCCTTCCATTGGTATGTATTTGTCCTCTTCCCATTTACTTTGAAAAAGTGAGCCACGAGGTCAGGTATAATACCTCTTTGACAGTTAGACATCCAACCTGTAAGCGCAAACAACCAATTGCAAGAGCATAAGGGGTTGACTGATACAACCCTGAAATTAGGGGGCAAGATGTAATATTCCTGGAATCCGTACTTCATAGTTTGAATCACGGAAGAATAAGAGCCATTAGCAGTGATTTGGTGGCTTTTGTAGACAATTATTTTTTCGTTTTGTTCTTCGGAGTGTTGGTCCAACATTTAGAAAGGCTCTTTCACTCTCTCATGATATTCATTCTTATACCCTTTTGGGGCTACTTTATTTTTTTAGGTCGAACTTTTGGGGCTACTTCAGAAGGCAAAATACTGACCTTCCATTACTCACTGATTTATGCTTGCTCATTCTTTCTCCAATCTGGACAGGGTACAATGACAGTATTTCTACCAGATATCAGATGCAGCCACAAAGCGTTAATGTCAATACTCCTCTTCAGTTTGATGGCTCTTCATTCCCTCTTCAGAATTCATTAATCAATTCCTCACACCAAACCCAGCTTCTGAGCCTTGGTCCATCACAGGCATCGGCATCTGGCTTTCATGCTGGGGGCCCATCAAGTCTTCCTCCTTACAGGGGAGCTGAGGAGCTTTTCTCGGAGGAGGAAATTCGTCTGAGAAGCCACGAGATGCTTGAGAATGAGGATATGCAGCATCTCCTGCGTATCTTCAACATGGGAGGCCATAACCAATCCTCATTCAATGTTACTGAGGATGGGAACCCATTTTCATCAGCATACATGCCCAACCTATCTCCGAATTTCGGCTTCAATGAGGACAGGAGCCGCTCATCTGGCAAAGCTGTTATTGGGTGGCTAAAGCTTAAGGCGGCATTGAGATGGGGCATCTTTGTCAGGAAGAAGGCTGCGGAGAGACGGGCGCAACTTGTAGAGTTGGATGAAACGTAGACAAGGAATGAAGATGAAGCTGGTCTAGCTTTGATGTTTATACGTTCCTCTCCTAGCCCTGCCTAATTCCTGTCAAACATAAGTTTGGGCCGGTGCAGGAAATACGGGCATAACCTCAGATTATATCTGTAAGATCTTACACATCGAGCTCTTGCAATGGATCCTACTCCCTACAAATAGTCAACATCTGTATGATTCTGTCCCTACACAAAGCTTGATATCCATAAGCAGCTATTGTTGCGGTAGTCTCTGCATGATATTGCTGCCTCATTGTGAAGATTGACCAAGTTGGAGCCATTTCAGCTGGAGATGTTTGATTGGTCAGAAGCTGAAACTGAAGGCGCTTACTGGGAGGAGCCTTTCTAGAAGCTAGATAAGTTTGCACGAGTTCTTTCACATGGTAATAGGAGGTAAGGTTGGTTTAATTATGTCAGTTCTAGTGTCTGTTGGATGTCAATCTGCTCGTGTAGGTGCAGTAAGATTCCGAACCTATAGATGTGGTTTTCGTCGGTAGATTAACGACTGCCTGCACAGTGACTGTTATTAGACTTCTTTAGTTTGTCAGCGTAATAAGCTGCGTAGGTCGGTTTGAGCCTGTATTATTCACTTTCTTACAAAATGAAGCTAGACTTCTCTCAACATTGTTCGGGATTTGCATTGGTATTGCTCTAAGGTCCTCTTTTGCTCTCTCGCTTTCCGCGGCTGGAGATTTTGCACCAAATATGAGGCAAGCCTCCTAAAAATGTAGCGATGGTAATGTATCACATATGGCATGCAGATTGTCCGGAGCTTCATGATTGTCAGCATACTGAATCACTTGACATTGAATACGTGTATAGGCATTCTCGGAGCTCCAGCAGCCCTCGTCTTTGTAATCAGGGTTTTCGCTGCTGCTTTTGCTTGTAAAGATGAATCGGATGTCACATCTTATGATAGATGGGATGGTATTTGTCAGAAAGAGATACGAAATTCGAAGGATCACCAAAGACATCCGCTTTACTAGCAGTTGGCTACGACTTGTACCATAGCTATGGCCTAACTTCGGCCGCATCGCATTGAAATCTAAAACTCATTTTTCCCTTCAATCAAGTCTATAACTTCGTTTAGTTTGAGTAATCTCGTGCAGTGTGGCGAACTTGATTTGCACAATTAGAGTCTTTTTATCATTTGCCATGGAAAACCTGTAGTTCGGCTAATTTCGTATATATCAGAAATTAAAATCAAGCGTTAGGAAAACTGACCTGAAAGCAGTACAACCAAATAAGCAAAATGTTGATCCGAGCCCAACGAATTAACGTCGTGTCCTTAAGACGAATTTGGCCCCTCAATCAGTACCCGAGGATATTGGACAATCGTCTCCCAGGATAGAACGGATCTCGTTCCTCCGAAGCGGTACGTATCCGGAGGACTCCAACGAACGCAATTTTGCAGAACAATCGCACGAAATGACAAATGATGAAGAATGAGAGAGCAGCAGAATGCCGCGAAAATATGAAATGCCAAGAGCACTTTGTTCGGTCATGTATGAATGAATAGTCATCAAGGAATTTCGGATATAGAAGGATGAAACCGAAGAGTCACCAACCGAACAATTTTGTTCGGTCATGTGAACAGTCACGAGCCGAGCGCGAAGGGCTTCGGTTTTCGTTCGGGCGAACCGAACCTCACGAACAGACATGTTTGTTTGTCCAAAAATAAATAAATAAATAAATAATTTCTAAACAACGTGTCTGTTCGAAAACTAAAAAATAAAAAACCGATAGAGAGTGGACCCGGAACCGAGCCGGCCGGACGGACGGCGGCGGCGGCGCGCGCGCGGGAGGTGGACCGACCTAGCTTGACGTAGGTCCTCTCTCTTCCACAAAAGTGGGGTACCCCTTGGGGCCCAAACCCATTTGTGAGGCTCAACTATTTGAACCCATCTCCCATCTCTCTTCTACCCTATGTGGGACACTTTCACCCACACACTTCTCATTCAATTCTATGGGATTTTGGTTCCAAAATCCCAACAATCCCCCACATGAATGAGAAGTTCAGATATCATGACTCTTTGTGTATGCATGAGATGCAATGTGCGATTATTCCATGAGAAAACGTTGCATCAGGATAAGTAGTCTGAGACCTTGAACTTTCCTTAGTGAAACCTATCGGACTTATCTCGGTCAATCAGAGACTTGATGTCTTTGAACCGTCGACCTTTGGTGTAAGCCTAGACAATAGAAATCACACAACCTGTTTCTCGAACAAAATTGGTTCTCACCGTTGTGTTCGTTTTGGCCATGAACACCGCTTGGTCTCATGAGTGTTTTAGAGAATTCGGCCTTTTCAATTCTCACGGCGCGCCCTCACTTCACACTCACATAGGTGATTTCGAACATATAGTATATCACATACTCAATTCGAATCATTAAAAGCTTTTGCTTAACCTTCACATATTAGTACTGTTTCATCCGGAATGAGTAAAAATTTAACAAGATTTCTACACTCGTCTTCATAACTTAGTTGTCCCTTTGAACCTAGATCTTGGGATCTCCAATCAACTAGGTAGGGTTTCCGCTATGATGACTTGTTTATAGGCCTTAAACCCATTCCCCTTGATGTTTTTGCAACCATCTCTCCAGTTAGGCCTTTTGTCAATGGATCCGCAATATTATCTTTTGACTTCACATAGTCAATGGTGATAATTCCACTAGAGAGAAGTTGTCTTACTGTGTCATGTCTTCGACGTATGTGTCGAGACTTACCGTTATACATGACATTCCTTGCTCTTCCTATTGCCGCTTGACTGTCACAATGTATACATACAGCGGGCACTGGTTTAGGCCAATTAGGAATATCTTCCAAGAAATTTCGAAGCCACTCTGCTTCTTCACCGGCTTTATCCAAAGCAATAAATTCTGATTCCATAGTGGATCTAGCAATACAAGTTTGTTTGGATGATTTCCAAGACACTGCCGCTCCCCCAAGTGTGAATACATATCCACTTGTCGATTTTGTGTCTTTAGTGCCGGTTATCCAATTTGCATCACAGTATCCTTCAAGTACCGCTGGATATTCTGTGTAATGCAAAGCATAATCTTGAGTATGCTTTAAGTAGCCCAATAAACGTTTCATTGCTTTCCAATGATTTTCATTTGGACTAATCAGTAATCGACTTAGCTTGCTAACCGCACAAGCTATGTCCGGCCTAGTACAGCTTCATGACATACATTAAACTCGCCTAGTATACTAGCATACTCATTTTGAGCCTTACTTTCACCAAGATTCTTCGAAAGATGTAAATTAACATCTATAGGAGTCTTTACCGGTACAATATCTAGATTCTTGCACTTTCCAAGAATCGTCTCAATATAATGGGATTGTGATAGAGTTAATCCTCCATATGTTTTATGGATTTTAACTCCTAAAATAACATCTGCAACCCCCATATCTTTCATATCAAATTTACTTGTGAGCATGCGTTTGGTTGCCTTAACAACCTCACTATCGCTGCCCATTATAAGCATGTCATCTACATATAAGCACAAAATGGCAAAACCATTATGAGTGTTCTTAACATATACACATTTATCACACTCATTGATCTTGAAACCATTCGACAACATGACTTGGTCGAATTTAGCATGCCATTGTTTCGGTGCTTGTTTCAATCCATAGAGTGACTTGATAAGCCGACATACTTTCTTCTCTTGACTTGGAACAATGAACCCTTCGGGTTGTTCCAAATATATTTCTTCTTCCAAATCCCCGTTTAAGAAGGCCGTCTTAACATCCATTTGATGGATTTCAAGCTTATACACCGCTGCTATGGCAATTAGCATCCTTATGGATGTAATTCTAGTAACAGGTGAATAAGTATCAAAATAATCAAGACCTTCTCGTTGCTTGTATCCTTTTACTACAAGCCTAGCCTTATATTTATCAATAGCACCATCCGCTTTCATTTTCCTCTTGAAAATCCACTTACATTGTAGTGGTTTATTACCAGGAGGAAGGTCAACCAATTCCCATGTATGGTTTGACAAGATGGATTCAACTTCACTATTGATAGCTTCTTTCCAGAACGGGGCTTCTGGCGAAGTCACAGCTTCTTTGAATGTCCGAGGCTCATTCTCTAACAGATACGTTAAGAAATCAGGTCCAAAAGACGTGGAAGTCCTTTGTCTTTTACTACGTCTAGGTTCATCCTCAATTGGATCATTTCTAGATATAGTATCTCGAGACCTCTTATTATTATCAATTGGCTCATATACTATGTTATACAGAAATATATTTTCAAAGAACGAAGCGTCCCTTGATTCAATTATCGTATTAACATGTATATCTGGGATCTCTGACTTGTGAACAAGAAAACGATATGCATTGCTATTCTGAGCATATCCGATAAAAACACAATCAACAGTCTTTGGTCCTATCTTAACCTTTTTAGGCTTAGGAACCGCAACCTTAGCCAAACACCCCCACACTTTGAGATAATTCAAGTTAGGCATTCTGCCTTTCCATTTCTCATAGGGAGTTTGTTGTGTTTTTCTGTGGGGCACTCTATTTAAAATAAAATTCGCCGTCAAAACAGCTTCCCCCCACAAATTCTGTGGTAAACCGGAACTATTCAACAATGCATTCATTGTTTCCTTTAAAGACCGGTTTTTCCTTTCTGCCACTCCATTAGATTGCGGCGTATAAGGAGGAGTCATTTGGTGAACGATACCAAACTCAGTACAAATTTCCTCAAAAGGAAATTCATATTCACCTCCTCTGTCACTTCTTATCATTTTAACTTTCTTATTCAACTGAGTTTCAACTTCGGACTTATAAATTCTAAAAGCATTCACAGCCTCATCTTTGCTACTAAGCAAATAAACATAACAATACCTCGAGCAGTCATCTATAAATGTGATAAAATACTTATTACCACCTCTTGACGGTATTGATTTCATATCGCATATATCTGTGTGTATTAAATCTAAAGGTTCTGAGACTCTATTGTCTACAGAATGAAAAGGAGGCTTAGAAAATTTAGATTCAACACACACTTGGCATTTCTCACTAGAACATTCGAATTTTGGCAATAATCTCATGTTCATTAATTTCTTTATCGACTTATAGTTAACGTGTCCTAATCTATCATGCCATAAATTAGGAGACTCAAGCACATAAGCAGAAACAGCTTTATTCATAACAACATTGGGTACAACAGTCATTACATTTAACTTGAAAAGACCATCACTGAGGTAACCCTTTCCTACATACATCTCATTCTTGGAGAGTACAAACTTATCGGATACAAAAACCAACTTGAAGCCATTCTTGCTAAGAAGAGATCCGGACACTAAATTCTTGCGTATGTCTGGCACATGTAGCACATTATTTAGTGTCACAACTTTCCCAGATGTCATCTTTAGAGCAACCTTTCCAACACCTTCAACCTTAGAGGTCGATGAATTACCCATGTAGAGTTTTTCATCACCTTCCATAGGCATGTAAGATGAGAACATTGATTTATTGGCGCAAATATGACGAGTTGCTCCAAGATCAATCCACCACTCCTTGGGATTTCCCACCATATTACACTCGGATATCATGGCGCTTAGATTGATATCATCAACACCATTGGAAATT